ACTAATCAGCTTTGAGAAACCACTGGACGTTGATTCGCTGTGATGATCGAACAGTTGAACAGTTCACCAAAAAACATTTGGGGCAAGTCGAGGATCTTCCCTTTTCAAGTTGTAATGATACAAGTCTTATCTCATTGCCACATATTTTCACATATTTCCATGCAACGGCAAATAGAGAGCTCCAAACGCATATACCCTCTGGTAATTTAACGTAGCTATTGAAAATGGCCATTAATAGTGGATTTTCCCATTAAAAATGGTGATTTTCCATAGCTATGTTAGTTTACCAGAGGGTACATAGCATTATACCATTGCGGGCTTTCCGTGTGACATCTGGGTCAAGAGCCAGAAAAAAAAGCTTGGTGGACCCCAACAGGGTGACTACCCAACTTTAGGGTTCAACTATGAAGGGAAATGCTACTGGGGTTTAACCAGCAAACATGGTGATTTAATTGAACAATTAATGGATATAACTGGTTTATAACCAATAATCATATAAATATCCATTAATCACCATTAATGGTGATATAATTATGGATATAATCATATAATAATAATTCATCCCTCCTCCCTAAGATTCAGCACTCACCCTCTTAATCACCATGGTGAATGTAGGGGATGAAATCAGCATGGTTTGGGATGGGATAAAAAGGTGGTCTTAACGGGGCACTGAATGCTTTCCACAGAAATCCCACACGGTCCGGTGTGGACGACAAGGGTTCATCACTATGCATACATTGCACAAAAGTAGTCATTCCCTTCGTAGAATGTCTCAACAACAAATAATTTGTGTAACCATATCCGATGGATTGGGGATGTTAGCTGTTTTCTGTGTATATTCATAGGTTTCAATAATTTTCTCTCAGATGGTGTCGAAACATGTCCAGTACATTGCCGAATCTTTGATACCCTAATACCCTGCTAAAAATATATGCCTCATATCTCCCCATTCCAAAACCGCAACACATATATATATATATATATATGTATATGTACGTATATATATATATATATGTATGTATGTATATATATATATATACGTATATTCAATGAAATCCAAGTTGCGAAACTATAGAACTGTCATATAGAACTGTCATATATACGACCCAGTCATAATTATCAACATTAATCAACCATCATTACTACTTGGATCATATTGGGTCATGTATCCAAATACTAACCATCCTTAATGTTATAATTCTATCAACCCATACCATATATCAACCTCTGGAGCACTGGGGCTTCTCTGGTTGGATGAGATCCAAGAGTCTGGCGGAGTGGTGAGATTCACCCAGAAAAATGGTATTTTTCATGGAGATTATATGAGGGATATGTAAGTAGATCAACTGGAGATAGTATGGATAACTGGAGATCACGTGGGATTTTCCATGGGAGATTTTTTGTGGGATGTTACTGGTTGTGAAACCCTATGGCAATGTAAATCCCTACATAAGAAATGACTAGAATCGGTTGGAATTGGAGGAAACCAACATTTCATGAAGTGGTTGGGGTTGCAGGTTTTTAAATGGGTGAGTTCAGTTGACTGGTTGATTTATATCTGGAGATTTGATGCGATTTGTGGATGTCAATGATATTGATACATGTTTGTCGATGATTCACGGTGATTTATGGTCGAAAAAAGCCCAACGATAACTGCAATTAATATCAGGACAAACAGTACAAATGGGTTCTTGTTCATCCCAAAGATGGCGGGGACACGTTTGAGACGCATGGAATTGTCTGAAATGTGGGTCCCAAATCCTACTGGTTAGTCAGAATTGTCCCTATAAAGTTGCCATTCAGAGGAGAAAACCCATGTTCACCCAAATCGATATCTCATTGGTGCAATATATTCATTGAAGCCGATGTTGAACGATAAAATAATGTTAAATGCCCCATTCAGATCAACTGTGGCAATGTAAAATCCCTCATTTAGTTCGATGATTTTCCATTGCCACGTTTATGCACCCAGCTCGCACCTGGGTGCATTCTCTGGTGCACCGTTGAATGAATTCATGTGCCTGTTGGCCTTGATCCAGATCGGGAACTTGCCAAGTTGAGTTTTTTTTGTGATTTCAGGACCTTCCGAGAGTGTCAAACCACTTTCACTGTTGACCTACAGTGACCTACAGGAACAGTCACCGGGATCTGAGCTCTGCACATTTTCCTGCAACACAGCTGGCGAAAGAAAAAAGGACGTCGCGAAACGGAAAACGCACGACCAAAACGGCGAAACAAAACTGGATCACTAGCACTTCAGCCCAGTAGCCCGGTTGTATACAGTTACATTAAATATATAAAGTTGAAATAAAAAACATGCATTTGATGTTATTGCTTTGCGCTCCAGTCAAGCCGAAGACCAACTGAAGAACAAAAGCACCTGGTGCACATTCTGCACTCGTCCTCTAGAGTTTCTGTGCATTTCAACAAGCATAACCCTCCTGTAAATGAACATAGATGTGGACAATCCATTGAACATCCATCATTTGTAGATAATCTTCCTAAGTTTAGGGAGTTTAAGCTGTAGGATGTTCCCCATCTTCTTGAATCTTAACTGGTATATCCACCAGCGCCTGAATCTTCTGCATACAAATGCAGGTGGCTCGGCCTAAGTCCTGGCGCGGATGGTGGCTTGGTGGCGAACTATAGTGTATGGTAGATATATCGAGCTGGCATGAGCTGGTAGGGTTTATAAATGTGTATAAACATGTATAAACCAACAAACATCACCAGAGGGCACCACTGTTGAGCCCCCATGGCGGTCAAGAACCATGTGTCATCTGTAAAATGCAATATGATTCCAAAAAAAAGTCATGTTAAACAAAACATGAACTGAACATAGTGATGATGATGATGATGATGATGATTGACTTATCATTTAAGTTTCTTTTTATCATCATTTCCAACTTCATCATTATCTCCTTGTCTCACAAACTGACCACTTTTGCCACATCAATTCACCACGTCGCCCAGCGCGCCTGGCGTCGGATGAATTCGATGACCGCCTGGGCGTCCTCGGTGCTTTCCACCACGATGGCGTTCAGCATCCCACAGGCCGTGGAGACCGCCACATCCTGAGCCACGGGGAAGGGACGCCTCAAAAACCGTACGCTTGGGGCAAGTCCAGATGTAAGTTGATAGGATAGGCATTAGTTATAGGGCTTAGTTATACTTATACTTTTACTTATACTTATACATGTACATATATACATATATATATATATACATATATATTTATACGGGATTATTTCATGTTATATCATATATCCCATTAGTTATATGTAGAATCTATATCATATTACCCTCTGGTAAATAAACATAGACCCTGAAAATCACCAATGTTTAATGGAAACTAGTCTTCCAAGTCCTATTTGCCAGGGTCTATGTTAATTTACTGGAGGGTAATATTCCATAAAATTCCCAACTTCTGAAACTAAACTAATTTGTTGTAGCCATCAGTTCATCGCCCCAGGCACGTATTTCTTGTTGATGGTTCCGAGGTCGCCAAGGCGTCCGTAAACGCCATTCAAGCGTCCAGCCTGTTGTCAAGGAGTGTGTTTCAGTGTCAAGGAGCTCAAAGAAGTCTACCCTCTGGTAAACTAACATAACTATGGAAAATCACCATTTTCAATGGGTAAATCCACGAACTAAATGGCCAATGTATTGCCTGTTTAATCATCAACAAAGATTTTCGGAGTTCACGAGTTGTTCAGTTATGCCAACATATATCAGGCTAAATCCTGGCCCTATGAAGACTGTAGGGTTGCAAAGGTAAAACAAATTTCAGCTGGGTTCCCTATAAGTTCCCCATAAGCATATATATGGAACATGTAGTCACATGACTGTCCTGTACCATAAACATGGCTGGGAATGCCCAAGTTCTTTGATACCAGCTAGAAAAAATATTGAAATCATCCGGATTGTCCATTAAACCAGATTTCCCCTCCCAAAAATCTGTGATTTCCCATGGATTGGCCACGTTTTGCTATCCGAAAATCTCTACGCGCTTCCGCACCTTGGACTCCGCCATGACCGCTGTAAAGAGATGCCCACGGGAACGTTCCTGCCAATATATATTATAATATATATCTATATATATATATGTATGTATGTATCAGTATCTTTATATATATATACATATATGATGTGCATCACACATATATATATATATGTATTATTTCTTTATTTCTAATGTTCAATGTATATATATATATATACGTAGATATTTGGTACCATTAAAAATATTAAAATAGCTGGTAAATGGGTGTTCATCCCCTAAGAAATTGTATCTATAGGTACTGTTGTTTTCTGTTTGAAACTACTTCTTTGAATGAAGAGAACTAGTGGAAACTTGCCCTCAAGTAAATCAACTTAGACCCTGAAAATAGATAAACATAACGTGTTTTTTGGCAATCGACCTTCCAACACCCTTTTTGGAAGGGTTAATGTTTAATCGGGTAGCTGCAAAATAGTTGTTAGATTTTGTTAGTTGTGTGATTTAAAGCTTCTGATTTATGGATCCACTGAACAAGTTGAAACATCTTGACACCAAACGATGGTCGTAAGGGGCTCACCCATCTAATGCCGCCTTTCAGCTCACGCATGTGAACATGATGCCAACCTACACATACCATGCGGTGCCCCCCAGTTATAAGTTGTTTTAAAAACCCCACTAACTATAGATATATCTGCTATAAACCCTGGGTATGTATGGTATGTTAGTCAGTCATACACCGACTTTGCTAAGTTTGGGGCACCGCCTTGATCCGCCTTGTACACTGATAAAGCGTGCAGGATGTCTGACTGATCTCCTTGTATCAATCCTACTTCGCAATCCATCCATGACGCCGGCATATTTACCAAAACATATCACCAAAAATTGCCTTGCAATGAACAGGAAGAAGATTCGGCCAGCAAAAAAACATGTGGGTCATATTTGAAATCCGCTGTCCTCATTTTGTGCGCTCTATAACTTACATAAATATGTCTATGTATATATAATGTTTTTTCATAATGGCTATCTCCATGGCATGGCATCCTGCCATCGTCCTGCTCGAACTCGCCTTTGGCTTCCTCTGCCTTTGTGCGGGCCTGTTGCACTTCCTTTGTGACCTGACACAATTCGACGAAGGGCGGTGTGGCTTTGACCAAGGCGTCTGAGAACTTTCAGGACAAATGCAGGAAAAAAAAATAGCAGCACCTAATTGCCAAGTCCATGTCCATTAATGTGTATCAAAAATTGTATATCATCATGGTATATATACATATATATATATATATATACAGCTATTGCTATTACTATTACTAATTACTCTTACTATTACTATCATTATTACTAATATCATTATTGTTGTTATTATTTTTTATATTCATCATCAAAATCATCCCATTCAATGTTGCGGAACACATATTCCATTGCATATACCCCCTGGGATTTCTTACTTCAATCCCATGAAATCCGCATTTTTCATGGTCAAACTACCATGTCATCATATTGAATCACCATTTTTTATCACCATAAAAATCATGGGTAAATTCATAGAAATCCATGAAATACATCCCATGACATCCCATGATCGATTTCTGCGATAAAATCCGAAACATCTCCCGCCAATGGCGCCTCCTGGAGTTGAGAAGTCACCTGGGTCACCCGCTCCTTGGCATCTGCCACCAGCTTCCGCCGTTCCTGTGGGCATTTTCAGCAAGAAAACTGCGCAAATCTGGTTGGTGGTATACCTACCCCTCTGAAAAATATGAAAGTCAGTTGGGATGATTATTCCCAATATATGGAAAAATAAAGGGGCAAAGATTTTCTTTAGGTTTTTTTTTTTTAAAGGATTTTTTTTTGTTTTTTGGTTTCCTATTAGTTTTCTTCCATTTTCCATTAGTTTTCCTTCATTTTTAAATAGTTTTCCTTCATTTTCTATTAGTTTTCCTTCATTTTCTACTAGTTTGCATTCATTTTCTATTAGTTTCCCTTCATTTTCCATCACGTTTCCTTCATTTTCCAATAGTTTTCCTTCATTTTCCATTAGTTTCCCTTCATTTTCCAATAGTTGTTCCATTAGTTTTCTATTGGTTTTCTTTCATGTTCCATTTTCCATTAGTTTTCCTTCATTTTCTATCAGTTTTTCTTTATTTTCCAATTGGTTTCTTTCATTTTCCGTTGGTGTTCCTTCATTTTCCCTTAGTTTTCCTTCATTTTCCATTAGATATCTGCATAAAAGCCAAAACGGCCAAGGCCAAAAACCAAGTGAAACCAAAGCCAAAAGCCAAAAGCCAAAAGCCAAGCGAAGCCACAACCACCAGAAGCCAATACACACCAGATCCAACAAGTGTCCTGAAACAAGGGTTTTCAATGATGGAAAAGGGCTAGTCCGGACACTTGTTGAAAAGAGTTTTAGTTCCTCTCGCACAAGCATGCATAGAAACCCACGAGTAAACGTCTGAGTTTCTTGCAACAATTGCTCAACCCAAATGACATGAATATAGTTGGAGTCCAGATTCAACAAGTGTCCTGGCATGCGTTTTTTTTCCCTAAAAGGGCTAGTTAGGACACTTATTAATGGGTGCGCATTTTTTTGTGGATTTTTTATTTTTTTGTTTGTTTTTTTTTTTGGTCGTCCAGGCTCCCTTCCTTGGTTTTTGCAACTAAAATCACTCATTTGCTGCATTTGGTAGCTAAAATCTCTCATTCGCACTGTTCATCAATTTTTCGACTGGTTTCAGTTTTTTTTTCAATGGTTTCTATCGAGTTTTCTTCAATTGTTCCATGGTTTTCTTCAATTTTTCTATGGTTTTCTTCAATTGTTCTATGGTTTCTTCGATATTCCATGGTGTTCTTCCATTTTTCAATGGTTTTCTTCATTTTTTCTATGTTTTTCTTCAATTTGTGAATGGTGTTCATTCAGTTTTCACTTGTTTTCATTTCTGGTTCCAGAGTTGTTCATTGATTTTTACATGGTTTTCATTGTTTTTTATTGAAGTTTTCATTTATTTTTGGAAATACACGATGTGCAAACTACAAATTGTAGATGTAGAAAGGTATATATGCATGACTAATCATGACTATATGTATATGTAGATCAGTGCGTTTACACATGTATTTAATATAGATATATATATATGCAGGGTTTGGTTTAGGGTTTATTTAGGGTTGGCTTAATGGTTTCTTCTGGATTTGTTTAGGATCTATTTAGGGTTGGGTTAGGGGGTATTTAGGGATACAACATGTACATACAAATAGCTATAATTACGTGATTATTTATAGTATATTTTGGGATCAAAGCTGTGTATAAAAACAACCACAAATATGTCATATATATATATGTCAGTATATCTAAAAGTAAATATGCATGTGTATTTTTATATATACTTATAGATACATACTTATATATATATACAAATATATATATATATATGTATGTATTATGTATTTGTAAATATGTATATATATATATATTTAAACATAAATATAAATATACTCGAATGAAACTAGTGCATTGAAAAGTGTGCAAGTTTTGAATTTAAATAATTAAAAAAAGCGGGAGGGGGGGGATTGGGGGGGAGGGCGCAGCGCCTCCCCCCCAAAGCAGATTGGAAACACCTATTTTCACATGCAAGGTGCTGGGTTGAATGTGATACTCAAGGTGTATAGACTACACAACATGCACCCTGAAAACATGTGGAATACAGATAAGGCACATGGTTTTCATGGTTTTTCCGAAGTTTTCATTTATTTTTGGAAATACACGATGTGCAAACTACAAATTGTAGATGTAAAAAGGTATATGCATGACTAATCATGACTATATGTATATGTAGATCAGTGCGTTTACACGTGTATTTAATATATATATATATGCAGGGTTTGGTTTAGGGTTTATTTAGGGTTTACATATATAAGCCAAAAGCCAAAAGCCAGGTGAAGCCAAAGCGAAGAGCCAAGTGAAGCCGAAGCCAAAAGGTCTTATTTTCCTGCGTTCATTTCCCGAAGCATGGAATACGTAGTTCAACTATCATTATGTATCTTTTTTTTACGTATATTAAGGGAAATAAGAGTCTTATTTCCCTTCTTTCCCGTAACATGGAGTAGTTCAAAACAATATAGCCAAGAGCCAAGTGAAGCTAAAACCAAACACCAAAAGCCAGGTGAAGCCAAAGCCAAAAGCCAAGTGAAGCCAAAAAGCCAAAAGCCAGATTATGTCTTTTCTTGACTTATCGAGGAGATAAGGGGCCACAGAAAGCCAAAAACCAGAAGCCAAGTGAAGCCAAAGCCCAAAGCCAACAGCCAAAGTGAAGCCAAAGCCAAAAGCCATGGCCCAAAAAAGCTAAACGCCAAAAAGCCAAAAGCCAATAACCAAAAGCCAATAACCAAAAGCCAAGAGCCAAAGTGAAGCCAAAAGCTAAAAGCCAAAAGAAAGCCCGAGCAAAGCCAAAAGCCAAAAGCCAAAAAGCCAAAAGCCAAAAGCCAAAAGCCAAAAGCCAAGTGGGCACTTGAAGCCAAAAGCCAAGTGGGCGCGCAAATGAGAGATCCTAGCTCCAAAATGCATGCAAAACACAGATTTTAGCTCCAAAGAGCACCAAATAGCAGGGAAAGCTGCTCCAGACTGAAAAACAAAAAAAAAAACTAAAAAAAACAATAAAAATTCCTTAAAAAATATACCCTCCAAATAAAAGCCATGTTCCAAACCACCAACCAGAAATGGTGATTGAAGATGATTTTTCATGTTCATTGTTTAGCAACAATGGTGATTGGGAGTTAACCGTGAGAAATGGTGATTTTTCATGGGCAGCAACAAACATGGTGTTCATCGGGTATGATATATCATGGAGATGACATGCGGATGCCGGATATCGTGGGATAACCAACAACAATAGGGATATTTGATGGAGAAAGCTATATGTACAATTACATATATATATATATACATATGGGCAGATTAGAAAAAGGCCACTGCACGACGTCACTGTCAATGATTAGGATCAATCACCTCAAAATGACAAACCACGGATTTCAGATTGGTGAATTATTGTGCATTGTGCATTCACTAGGGATGAACAAAAAACATCGCGGAGCGCCTTCAACATCTTTGTGGCATCCTTTTGCTCCTGACATCGCCCGAGACTACCCAGGTGGTGCCAAACATCGCGAAGTTGGGTTATAGTCACTCCAATAACAAGATATAACTAGGGCTAGGGTTTTCATGGGTTTGTGGTAAATACACAAGTAAGTATAGTCAAATGGTTTATAAACCACCACCTTGTATACCTTGGCTAACCCCCAAACCGAAGTGATAAACCCAGCGAAAATTGCCATGATGCTCATTTTCCCAAGACAAACCTGGGGAGTATCCCCAATTTTGCACAAACCCAAAATTACTGTTATTGTACCCCCAAAATCGACCATTACAATGCTTAAATATGTGTATATATATATTATAGAATATTATAGATCCCATGATTATATCCCCATAGAATGATTGGTTATAACTTCTAACCCTCCCATTCTTTTCCCTGTTTGGTCCTGTTCGCGCTTGCCGAGCTGTTCACGACATTCGCCGCTCTCTTTTTTGAGCTGACCAATTTGCTCTGTGACCTGTGAAGGACTCAGGCTTTTGAGGGGACAATGGTTTATCATCATGTTCTCTTTTTCAAATGGCCACAAATGGTGGATGTTACCCAATGTTGGAGAATCCTATGTATATAATATAACTATATATATATTGCTGTTGATTGTTTATTCCATTGTATCGTCAGAACAAACAATGTTGATTGCAAAACCACAACTTTTGTTGGTGAATCGGTAAATTGTGTCTCAATTAGCCATTTTCAGACATCCCCACATGGGTGTGCCTGAAGATGGGTAACTCCACAAAGACAGTTTTCAAATAAAAAATGACTTGGAACATCAATTTGGGTTCCCGAAATCAGAACCAAAATGTCGCAGTTGATTTTGAACCAAAATGACCTGAACAATCCTGAACATGGTTGTTGATTTGTTGGTGTCCCGGTTTCATCAAGTCAATGGGAATTTCAGGATCCTAAAATGGAGGTACTGTACCATATAAGGGCATATTTTCTGGGGATATTCCCTTACATAGGCCTAAAACATAGACCTTATATATGGTAGGTACGTCCAATAGTCTCCAATTTAGGTTCCTGAAATGGCCATTGATCAAGTTTCCCAACCATTTTGGAAGGTACCAACCTACCAAGCCCACCGCGGCTCGATCGCCTCCACCTGCTTCTTGCGCAGAAAACCTGCTTCCGCCTGAGCCACTTCGACCACCTGTTTGACCTGCGAAGGGTGACCAGAAATCACGGTTTGGAAGTAAAATCACTTATAAATTGTATATTCTATCATGTAATAATAAATAAAAATAATAAACAAAATATATCTGGATATATCTGGTTAAAAAACATGGGACTTCACCAGGTAAAAAGGACTCAACATGTGGTTTAACACTGGATTTCCCGACCCGCGATAAGCTGGTGTGATCCCGGGCTGTGTTATCGCGGGAAGAAATGGGGTGATCCCTAGATCGGGCCCTGAAGTTGGACCCATGGCTGTGTGTATCCCAGTCATTAATAGGTGTCCTGGTTGCACGTGACAAATCTAAAAATACTACATATTATATCTATATGTAATAATATATATTTATATATATAATATTATATATAATATTATGTATATATATATATGTATATAAACTCAAAGATGGTATAAACATGTGCTACTGTGTAACTGGGTTTCACGCCATGAAAATGTTGACGTAACATGGTGATGAGCCACCAACTGCACATGCCGAGCCGTAGCTCGTATCCATCTCCGCCTCAGTCAACTTCTTCTGCAAAGGCCTTGGCGACGACGCGAGGTGCCAAGTGCGGGGCGCACAGCCAGTGGTTCTGCTTCAAATAATGCGGGATTATATGGGATGATTCCCGGTCTGAGGATTTTTACAGGCCACGCTATCGTTTTTTTTCAGTAGCGATGACTGACATTTGACCATATCATACCACACAATCTAAATGACTACAGCAGTTTTTGGTCCCAGCCAGCTACGTCGAATCAAAATAGTTGTTTTTGTTCCACTTGGATCCAATTACCCTCTGGCAATCAAACGTGGCTAGCTGGAAAATTCTGGAATTAAATGGAGGGCTCAATATATTTCCATGGAAAATCATCATATATATATATATATATATGTTATATGTATGTATGTATGTATGTATGTATGTATGTATGTATGTATGTATGTATGTATGTATGTATGTATGTATGTATGTATGTATGTATGTATGTATGTATGTATGTATGTATGTTGTATGTATGTATGTATGTATGTATGTATGTCTGTGTGTGTGTATGTATGTATGTATGTATGTATGTATGTATGTATGTATGTATGTATGTATGTATGTATGTATGTATGTATGTATGTATGTATGTATGTATGTATGTATGTATGTATGTATGTATGTATGTATGTATGTATGTAGTATGTATGTATGTATGTATGTATGTATGTATGTATGTATGTATGTATGTATGTATGTATGTATGTATGTATGTATGTATGTATGTATGTATGTATGTATGTATGTATGTATGTATGTATATACATACTGTATATATATAATATATATATATATATATAATTATATGAATGTATAAATATGTATAAATAGGGCTAGGATATTCTCAATTGCAATGTTTTCTTACAGGAGGATATCTGCTCCATCTGGGTCCAAATCTATCTGGACTCCGTCACAGGAACGATGCTCCATGTTAAATGGTTAGAAAAAGGAGTCATTGCCCGTCATAGCTGAGATACGTCAAGGCGATATTGAACCATACCCTTTAGGATACTTCTATAAATATGTGATGTATATAATTTAGTAGTATTACATATAGATTATTATTAAAAATATGATTATTATTATTAATAATAATTATTATCATTATCATTGTTATTATAAAGATTATTATGATGATGATGTGTTTATTCTTATTGTAAAACACAATAATCATTATTATCATTATTGTTTATCATTATTATTAGTATTGTCATCTAATATGGATTGATACTAGACCTACTATGTAAATCTATTTACCAGCGGCAGTTGGAACATCGTTGGGGGCACCCACATAGAATTTGGTGAGAGAAGCTGACCGACTGTTTGCCAAGAGTTGCCCTAAAAGCCAAACCACAAACGCCTGTCCATGCGTGTCTAGTCTAAGACATTGTTCTTGAGTGTTTCTGCCTTTGTCATCCAAGCGCTGAAGACTATACAAATCACCTGCAGCTCACCCGCACACCCTGACACGTGAAAGTCTGCAGACGGCTTGGAAAGATCAACCCCTCCAGGTTCTGACTAAACTCGTAACCAATCATCAAGCTTTGCAGACCGCTTGGAAAGGTCACGCCCTCCAGATTCTAGCTGAAGGCATCACCCAACGTCAAGCTTTGCAGACCGCTTGGAAAGGTCACGCCCTCCAGGGGCTGGCTGAAGGCATCACCCAACATCAAGCTTTGCAGACCGCTTGGAAAGGTCACGCCCTCCAGGGACTGGCTGAAGGCATCACCCAACGTCAAGCTTTGCAGACCGCTTGGAAAGGTCACGAACGTCAAGCTTTGCAGACCGCTTGGGAAGGTCACGCCCTCCAGGGACTGGCTGAAGGCATCACCCAACGTCAATCTTTGCAGACCGCTTGGGAAGGTCACACCCTCCAGATTCTGGCTGAAAGCATCACCCAACGTCAAGCTTTGCAGACCGCTTGGGAAGGTCACACCCTCCAATTCTGGCTGAAAGCATCACCAACGTTAAGCTGCAGACCGCTGGGGAAGGTCACGCCCTCCAGATTCTAGCTGAAGGCATCACCCAACATCAAGCTTTGCAGACCACTTGGGAAAGTCACGCCCTCCAGGGACTGGCTGAAGGCATCACCCAACGTCAAGCTTTGCAGACCGCTTGGGAAGGTCACACCCTCCAGATTCTGGCTGAAGGCATCACCCAACGTCAAGCTTTGCAGACCGCTTGGGAAGGTCACGCCCTCCAGGGACTGGCTGAAGGCATCACCCAACGTCAAGCTTTGCAGACCGCTTGGGAAGGTCACACCCTCCAGATTCTGGCTGAAGGCATCACCCAACGTCAAGCTCTGCAGACCGCTTGGGACACCCTCCAGATTCTGGCTGAAGGCATCACACATCGTCAAGCTTTGCAGACCGCTTGGGAAAGTCACGCCCTCCAGGGACTGGCTGAAGGCATCACCCAACGTCAAGCTTTGCAGACCGCTTGGGAAGGTCACGCCCTCCAGGGACTGGCTGAAGGCATCACCCAACGTCAAGCTTTGCAGACCGCTTGGGACGGTCACACCCTTCAGATTCTGGCTGAAGGCATCACCCAACGTCAAGCTTTGCAGACCGCTTGGGAAGGTCACGCCCAAGCTTTGCAGACCGCTTGGGAAGGTCAACGCCCTCCAGGGACCTGAAGGCATCACCCAACGTCAAGCTTTGCAGACCGCTTGGGGAGGCCACGTCATCCAGGTTCTGGTTGAAAGCACCATCAAACGTCAGACTTTCCAGACCGGCGCAACTCACCAGAAAGCTTTCAAGAATTGACAATTGGTGACGATGAGAACTGCACACATAAATATATATATATGTATATATTAAAATTTATTTATGTATGTAACGTATGTAACGTATGTAACGTATGTAACGTATGTAATGTATGTAACGTATGTAACGTATGTAACGTATGTATGTATGTATGTATGCATGCATGCATGCATGCATGCATGCATGCATGTATGGATGTATGGATGTATGGATGTATGGATGTATGGATGTATGGATGTATGGATGTATGGATGTATGGATGTATGGATGCATGTATGCATGTATGCATGTATGCATGTATGCATGTATGCATGTATGCATGTATGCATGTATGCATGTATGCATGTATGCATGTATGCAGGTATGCAGGTATGCAGGTATGCAGGTATGGACATATGTACGTATGTACGTATGTACGTATGTACGTATGTACGTATGTACGTATGTACGTATGTACGTATGTTTGTATGTTTGTATGGGTGTATGTATGTATGTAATGTAATGTAATGTAATGTAGTGTAATGTAATGTAATGTAATGTAGTGTAATGTAATGTAATGTAATGTAATGTAATGTATGAATGTATGTATGTATGTCTGTATGTATGTATGTATGTTTGTATGTATGTATGTATGTATGTATATACTATATATATATTGTATATATTATAATATATGTATATATATATGTATATATATATATACATTATATATATATTGTAAATATATTGATATATATATATATATAATATATATATATCAACCATTGCTTTTGGGCCAAGCCACACCAATTCCTTCTCCTTCGCCTCCTTGGCGGGTCGGAGCTTCTCAGCTTTTCCCTTGAGCCCCTGAAGCCGGTGCGCCCAGCGGTGCGGCCACGGGAAATCCCCAGTCGTCACCATGGGTTTCAAATACCAAAATGGTCGAAAATGACGTGGATGATTTGGAGGCACCCACCCTTTTTTGAACCTCCATATGATTGGGATATTTATTGTGATATTTGGGACATTATAACTAAGCCAAGTTGGATTGATTGCTTAAGTTAACTATGATCAGAACTAGGGGGCACCTCCTTGCACTGTATATCATGGGAAATATGGACATATGTGTCATATGTGATGCTATTGGGATATTTACTGGGATATGTGGATATATTTGGGACATTTACTGTGATGTATAGAGCCAACCATGATTTGAGGATTTAGCACCCCCAACCAACTGTTTGACCCTGAGAATAGCCCATTTTTAAAGGATAAAATTGTCTTCCAACCCCTGACTGTGGGCAAGGTTAATTGGAGGGATGTTAAGTGTCGCAAAAATCAGGATTCACGTCCGAAAATGCTGGTTTAACATGATTTAACCAAACATGGGGATTGAACCATCCAACATGGAGGTTTTATGGGATTTTACCATCTCCAATCTGCATTTAAACAGGCATTTAAGCAACAAGAATAAGAAGAATAGTGGATAGTTATTGTGTTTATCCAAACTGGTGGATTTACCCCTATGTATTGCAGTCTGACTGACTAGGGAAAATTGTTATAGTTATAGTTCTGATGCACCATTATTTTTTCGGGTACCCATCATCTGCAGACAAACCCGCATCTTGACCCACAAAATTTCGCTGCCGTCCTGATTGGGCATGGGGAACGGTTTCTTTGCCTTCTAGGGATAAGTCCTAAAATGAAAACCCCACGGTTATCTTCCAAGTTATTTGTGAAATTGAAACAGATCTAATACTCTAATAGATTTATTGGGAAAACCATGCGCTTGGGGTACGCACCCTAATTTTGAGAAACACTAAGATCTAATATGATTTATTGGGAAACCATGTGCTTGGGGTTCGTACCCTAATTTTGAGAAACACCAATAGGCGTGCCCATGCACTTATAAGTTGATTTATAAGCCCCATTTGGTATATGTATACATATATATACTACTGCAACCAACTTAATTATATATATTAGTGTTTGGTTGTAGTAGAATATACTAATATAGTATAATTGTAATATCTATAACTATTGGTTTAAATATAATCTGTTAATATTAGCTATAAACCAGCTGACCTAACGACCTGGGGAACCATGCCTCGTAGAGCTTCTCCAGCTTCGCTGCTTGACTCGCTCGGAAACGTTCGGTGCTTTCCAGTTCCTGCAGACGTTTCGCTTCTCGGGATCTACCGTTTGACCCTTCGTTTGTACCCCAGAATCATACGTTCTACCATCAAAAATTGCACTTCCCTTCAACCAATTCCGGAATTCTCAAAGTTGCTCCATGTTGCTCTAATTATATTGGTTGGTGACTTACTGGTATTTCATCTTATATCATTTTTGGCAATTCACTCACATTTTGTGCTAGTGAAACCATCGTGTTTCTTTCTTGAATCGCACTTGTTTCTGGTAATTTCCGCCATATAACCTTGTGATATTGCAATCGCATTGTTTTCTGGGTATGTCACCATTCTTCTTGCTGAAATCCCAGCATGTGTCCCAGTTAAACCGACCATATTCCTTGTCAAATGGATATTTTTCATAACTCACAATTTCCTGGTTTACCCCACCATATTTCCATATTAGTTCCTATATCCAATCCCACGATACAGCATATTTCCTCGTGAAATCCCAACATTCTCCACCAGATCTCAGCTCCTGCTCCCGGACGGGGGCATCGTTGCGGAGCTTCTCAGCGTCCTGCGGGACAAACGGCATGGCAGGGTCGATGTGGATTTTGGGGATGGTTAAACCCAAAAAAACTAGAAGTTACCCTCTGGTAATTTAACATAGCTATTGAAAATGACCCATTTATAGTTGATTTACCTATTAAAAATTGTGATTTTCCATAGCTATGTTAGTTTACCAGAGGGTAAACCCAAAAAAAAACTAGAAGTTATCTGGTTGGTGGTATACCTACCCCTCTGAAAATATTAGTCAGATTGGATCATCATCCCAACTATTGGGGAAAATAAAACATGTTCCAAACCACCAACTAGTTATGTATCAATATGTATCACTAGTTTGTCTCCTTACACAGAAAATAGTAGAGAAGTTATTTACCACACTATTTTAGGATTGGAGTTGACTTCCTTTGTGTCTTTCGTAACCCACACAAAAAGATGCAGAAAAGGTTCCATCACTATTTTAAGAAAAGGTTCCATGTATGGTCTTAGGATTGAATTGTATTACTTTTATAAATAATCCCTTCTTCCTATTACTAAAACCATTCACGCATGTAGAAACCCGCACTACAAAATGCATATTTGTGTTTGAGGGGTGGGGGATGGGGTGGGGTGGGGCATGTTAACGTTCCATAAAAATTACGCATTGTCAATGCTACGCCACGCATGCTACAGTTATGCACATAAGAAAATATCCACCTTTGTATATACATGTATTATATATATATGGGAGTGGGGGATGGGGTGGGCTGGGGCACGTTAATGTTCCATGAACATTACACGTTGTCAATGCTACGCCACGCATGCTAGGCATGTGCGAGGCATTCGATCTTCAACTTTGTCAATGTTACGTTCGCGAAAACGGTCAAAAGTCTGCTCAACATGAAATCTAGATAGTTAGTTTTGTGGTCTCTCAAAAAGCCTGTTCCAAGAGTTCAAATTATCGATGTTTCGTTCCATGATTCAGCTAAGATATCCTAGATGTCAAAAACATTGAGAAAAAACATGAAAAACAACATCCAAATGCCTGCGGAACATTCAACTCAACTAAACATCTGAATTCCAAAACTACGACGTGACAGAAACCAGTGCCGGTTTCATGTACGTGCAGCCTAAAAAAACTACCCCAAATAAAAAAAAGGATTGGTGTGGCACTTCCGTTTTTTTTGGGTTGGGCACAATTGGATTCTTAATTGTGGTAATTGAGAATCAATAGCAGAACAGGATGGTGAAACAATGGGTTCAACATGTTCAACTCCCTATATTAATAAAAATAGATTGCCACCTGGAATTTTTTTATTGGGGTCCAATCTCACAAGTTTTATATTAATTTATTACATTATTATTATACATTGTTATTAAGGTTTTCATTGGAATATTGGGGGAAAGCATCGACATCCAGTTTTTGGCAATATTTTACACAGATTTTGATAAGGGATTTAATCAAATTTGGAATCGAGTTGTTTTTATCTTTATTCTTAGGGTTTAAAATGGAATATTAGAGGAAAGCATCGACATCCAGTTTTTGGCAATATGTTATATATATATGTTTAAAAGGGATTTAATCAAATTTGAAATCAATTTTTTAAATTTATTATTAGGGTGTTCATTGGAATATTAGGGGAAAGCTTCGAAATCCAGTTTTTGGCAACATGTTATATTTTAAAAGGGATTTAATCAATTTTGAAATATGTTTTTCATTTTTATTATTAGGGTTTTAGGGGCACCCTAATACAAAATACCCCCTAATAATAAAAAAATAGATCACCGTGTTTCCATTTGGGGGGTGTTTTAGTAATAGGGAGAGAGGATTACTCTTGGAGGTTGCCACAATTCCTCACAGTAATGTCTGAGATAGATGGGGTATCATTCCGAAACTTGCTATAATTACAGAACCCAAACCATATGTTTGTTGCATTCTGTTTCCCCATTAAACATGCATTTACCAACATGGCAGTAGCAGTGGACAACAACATGTCATTTTTCAGTACTTCATCATCCCAAAATGGTGATCGATCCATCGACAGATTCCCCAGTTTAGATCTGTAATCGGTCGAAACATAATCTGATCATTGGGCTGCTGAGAAAAGGTATAGTGTACTGAAAAACATTTTCTTCTTGCAGATCATTAATTAGGATAGAAAATTATAGAACATTACACATCACAAACCTGAACGCTTCGCGATTTGGGCTCTTACTTTTTGGGGCTCGGTCCAATGAGGTCACTCCCATCATGGAGACCACCCAACAACTCAGTGGCTATCCCCGTCCCGGGCCTTGATCAACTGCTTGGCGCGTTCCTGCTCTTCTTCCGAAGCCTCTCAGCGTCGGTAGCTGGAGAACTTGATGTGTTGACGGATCTGCAGATGTTTTTAACACATGGAGTTGAGAAAGTCACAGCTACCAAACACAAGACTAACAGGGGCTCTTTTGGCATGTGAAAACACGGAGAGGAATTACGATTATTAAATAGCTACCACACAAAGTAGATGTGCTCACCTGACCTACCAAATACTTTGATGGAAACTGGGTCAACAACTCAAAACATTGTCAGGTCTGGTTGTCATGGGGCGCCCCTTCCCAAATGGCATGGACACAAAATAGGATGGTCGTGGAATGCTGAAAGGAAACAACGCAAACCGCTTCAAGTTAATGGCGGCATCAGAAACTACTTTCAACAAACAGTTATGCATTGCAACTGCACCAAACCAAAGAAGCATTGCAGAATTTCTGAAGTTCTCAAAATTGGGGCTAAATATGCATGTCTACATCCATGATACTACATTACATGTACATGACTAGGTTTGCCAAAAAGATATCCCCAACTTGTCCAAACGCAGTCTCAAACAATCGTGCCCTCAAACGGGAAATATTGTTCCGGGCAAGATTTGACACCATGTAACGCTGCTCTTCTATGGGTTGTTTCATAGATACTTAATGCAGTTTTTCATGAACCAATTGTGAGCAACGGAGAAGAATTGGTGATGACTAGCTTCTTGCCAAAATTCAACCGTTTCAGTTTGTTTGCTTCTGGATTTGTCTAAAAATTGGGTACCCCAAAATTCAATTGTTCATCCTCATGTTCCCCATGAACATGCCATTTTGATCATTTTGGGCCCCAATATCATATTGTTGGTGAGATACCTCATATCATCCCATAAAATGTTTGCTTTGACCGGCCCATCTAAACTCACATTATTCATGCTTCTATTGTTGATATTTAAGTGTGCTGTGAGGTAGGTGAATCACACCGCTTAAGAAAACACCAGCAACCACGCGCCTGCGACAATTTCTGGATCTTCTGCTCTTGAAAGGCAATGTCTTCAGTGTACTTCACGTCCTTTGGGTCGAAGAATGGGGTACACGCTATACTTCTGGGTAAATTGTAATAATTAATGTATATAATATTTCACTAATCTGAGGCCAACTACTGGGATAATCTCCGCAATCTAACCATCATTCCAGGGTTCGGGAGAACAGTGAGGTCGTTATAATTTACCCAGATACTTATTCTAAGAGAAAAACAACATAATGGCAAACAACACAATGCACACCATATTAAACCATCAAAGTCAGGGGGAGTTAACTTCAAAACTCATCTACAGTAGCGTGTCTTGACATGTTAAAGTGATTTCAAAACACATGACGCAACGCTTTCGCTTTCATACACGAATGGAAAGGACAACAGGTGGGTTAACCCCCAAGGTTCTCAGGCGCGCTCCATGTCTCCTGTCGTTCGAACTCCTTAAACTCCTCCGCTTTCTTTTCCATTTTACCCTTGATGCTGTTGTAGTCCTGTCAGCGCCAAGCTAGAGGGAAATAGAATGCTTCTCCTGTATGTTCTTCATCGCAAATGTACATTCACATCTCAAGAGAGAAAGAGATGTCTTCTCGGTTTGGCTAGCTAGTTGGTTTCACGCTATGCCAATGAAAAGCAAGTGGGGATCATCATTCTGTTTGATTAAAGATAGAATGACAAAGAACATTCAAACAAACCAACCCAACATCTATATATGTAATTACATATATAGCCCCATAATATATATATAATTAAATATATATATATATACAATTCAAAAAAAACATGTACATGTTTGTACCATGTACTTATCCCCATTTGTTCCGGTTATTTCTACCCCTTTGTTGCTCGCATTTAAAACCACCAGTGGCATACATCTGCTGCTTTCAACCCCCGTGATATCCCATGATCCTTCAAGTGGTTGTTGTGCTCTGCTTCAATGCCCTTCACCTCTTTCCTTGACAAACAGGGTGGTGTTTTCTCCAAGGAGAATGCTACACCACAAAATCAACATGAAACATTTACCAGTTGGGCCACATCATTGGGACCCAAAAAATGTCAGCTTGCTGAACAAAAACCCGGGGGCAATTACCCTCTGATGTTTCAAATAACAGTTTGCTATGAAAAATGTCCCATAGACATAAATGATAAACATGATGATGTACCAGTGCCATTCTCAAAAAATGTGATTTTCAGTTCGCAAACCGTTACACTGCTGCATCAAGCGACTCGAACGTCTCCATCTTTTTCTTGTGCTCCTTCATATGTCCCTGGAGCACCTGCATAAAAATCGTCACACAGATCGGCAGCAGTGGTTCTTGGTTCTGTGTTCTAAATATATACAATTTAAGCATGTATCTGGTATCTATAAATGTGCATATGTACCGTAAGTGTAGATATACATGTCAATATCAATATCAATGTATTTCTACTATTCAATTTGCGTATATGTCTCATTATATATACATACATATTATCAATAAATATATATATATATATATATATATATCATATATCTATATACTATATTACTATATATATATATATATACCTAGTCATAGTACATTTTTAATTTAATTATATTCAATTTGTTTCTACTCCCAAAACTCACTGACCCCCCGTACTCAACAGGAGCCTTGTGTTCATCCTCCAGAGATCCCAAGTTGCCCTGACTTTTCCGAACTTGCGACTGAGCCAGTAGGGACCTGGGGGAGCTGGCGGCATGCACTGACCCATGGCCCATAGCTACACCAGTTCCCAGACCAACGTAACGTGTAACCAGATTTCCGCGTGGCCAAGCTGCTGCAATTCCAGTCGTTCGGCTTCGCCCGAGACCCAAGTTTCTGCTTCCTGAGCTTGAAAAAGGCGAGGGGGTACGACATCGAAAATGGGGAGCTAACCTATGTGTAACCAACGAACAATGAATTGATGGATTTGGGTGTGTCTGGAAACGGCGTATATACCAGAAAAAATGCATTGTTTTGTGGGAAAACCTCGTTTCAAATACTGAATCTGACGGAAACATGATAGGGATGATTCCCTGGATAATGCCCAACAGATCACCCACCTGGATTATCACCAAGTCACCAAGGTAGCACATCATCATCCATTCCCCCTTTAAAAAAACATCCAGAAACCATAGTTTAGGGGATGAAACCCACATATTTGGGACCGAATGGTGGTGTTTCGTATGAGGAATGGGATGAAACTCTTCCGAGTTTCTTTTCGCGGTCCATCCAACGCCTGGCAATTTTCGGGTTGGTAGCTAGATTGCATTTGGATAACGTGAGAATAATCACTAAAATTTATGTATATGTATATGTGTATGTGCATGTGTATGAGTATGTGTGTGTGTATGTGTGTATGCGTGTATGTGTGTACCTGTGTATGTGTGTATGTTTGTATGTGTGTGTGTACTTGTGTATGTGTGTATGTGTGTATGTGTGTATGTGTGTATGTATGGATGGATGGATGGCTGGATGGATGGCTGGATGGGATGTATGGAGGGGATGTATGGATGGTATGTATGGATGGTATGTATGGATGGTATGTATGGACGGTATGTATGAATGGTATGTATGGATGGTATGTATGGATGGTATGTATGGATGGTATGTATGGATGGTATGTATGGACGGTATGTATGAATGGTATGTATGGATGGTATGTATGGATGGTATGTATGGATGGTATGTATGGATGGTATGTATGGATGGTATGTATGGATGGTATGTGGATGGTATGTATGGATGGCATGTATGGATGGCATGTATGGATGGGATGTATGGATGGCATGTATGGGTGGTATGTACGGATGGGATGTATGGTTGGGATGTATGGATGGTATGTATGTAGGTATGGATGTATGTATGGATGGTATGTGGATGGTATGTATGGATGTATGGATGGATGGATGGATGGTATGTATGGATGGTATGGATGGATGGCATGTATGGATGGGATGTATGGATGGTATGTGTGGATGGCATGTATGGATGGTATGTGTGGGTGGTATGTGTGGATGGTATGTATGGATGGTATGTAAGGATGGTATGTATGGGTGGTATGTATGGATGGTATGTATGGATGGTATGTATGGATGGTATGTATGGGTGATATGTATGGTATGGTATGGTATGATATGGTATGGTATGTTACGGTATGTATGTATTTATGCATGTACCTCTGTTTATAATAGAGACTACCTTATATAATAATAATAATAACAATAATAATAAATTAATAGTAATAATAATAATAACAATAAACAACATCACTCTATATGGTGTATATATATATATATGTCATGTATATATATAATATGATTTGTACATGTCATATATATATATGATATGATATGATATGTATATGTGTGTGTTTGTCTGATAATAATAGGGACCATGTACCCCAGAATCCACTGGTGTATCATCATGTTCTCTATTAAATTGCAATAAATTTGGGGCCCTTTCCCTCAGTAAAAACCTCTGGAAGTGGCAGCTGAAGCTAAATTTTCTGCAGTCAGGAAACGTGGGTTCGCTTATTTGTTAGGTAATGTTTGATGCACGCAAAGTGGTGATCAACAAACAACAAGAAAATAACATTGAACCATGCTTGAAGCATGTGTTGTGTTTTTCTATGCTTGGATAAAACATGATAAAACAACATAAACAATCCCCGAGTTTCAATCAATAAATTGGGGGCCAATCGAACCATATACCTCCATGTGTTCAATTTTATCATGGGTTCAAACTCGGATAATTACCCCCCAAAAAGAAACACCATTACTCAGAATCAGCAAACGCGTCATCATTCACGCTCAGACTGAGCAAACTCCTTCATTCTCGGTGGTTCTAATGACCCATGTCCAGTTTACAAATTGCAGCTCACCCAGCCATCTCCCGTCGTTTCGGCCTCTTTTTCGCGTTCTGCGACTCGCAGTCGATTCAGTTTCTCCTGATGGAAAGGTTTTGACACCCAAAGGCAGTGGGTCTGGGTGGATATCGAACAGATCAATGTAGGAATATGAGTATACCAACATGAATGCACTGAATGCAAACGCGTATACCTCATATATATATATATATATGCTAACCCCCCCCCCTGATACCTACTTTTTACTGTTAATTCCTTCCTTTCTTCGTAACTACATCTGTGCTGGCAGCAAGTCATTTGCAAGAACCATGTGGGTTACATGCTTGAGGGAGCGTGGGTTCAAAAGGATGAAGCTATGAAGGCTTTGCACAAAGTGCTGCGTTACAAGTTCTCACTTGGGCAAACTACAGCAAGTACTTTGCACGAATCACGGTCACATGCTTGAGGGAGGGTGGGTTCAAAAGGATGAAGCTATGAAGGCTTTGCACAAAGTGCTGCGTTATAATTTCTCACTCGGGCAAACTACAGCAAGTACTTTGCACGAACCACGTGGTTCACGTGCTTGAGGGAGGGTGGGTTCAAAAGGATGAAGCTATGAAGGCTGCACAAAGTGCTGCGTTACAAGTTCTCACTTGGGCAAACTACAGCAAGTACTTTGCACGAATCACGGTCACATGCTTGAGGGAGGGTGGGTTCAAAAGGATGAAGCTATGAAGGCTTTGCACAAAGTGCTGCGTTATAATTTCTCACTCGGGCAAACTACAGCAAGTACTTTGCACGAACCACGTGGTTCACGTGCTTGAGGGAGGGTGGGTTCAAAAGGATGAAGCTATGAAGGCTTTGCACAAAGTGCTGCGTTACAAGTTCTCACTTGGGCAAACTACAGCAAGTACTTTGCACGAATCACGGTTACATGCTTGAGGGAGGGTGGGTTCAAAAGGATGAAGCTATGAAGGCTTTGCACAAAGTGCTGCGTTACAAGTTCTCACTTGGGCAAACTACAGCAAGTACTTTGCACGAACCACGTGGTTCACGTGCTTGACACTTTAGGAAGGGTGGATTCAAAAGGATGAAGCTGTTGAGGCATAACATTATATTGAGGTAAAGAGTGGCACTTGCCTACGGTTCGACGAAGACCCCTGCCCTGCAACCGCAGTAGCTCCCACGATATAGCGAAGAGAAGAAGCATCCTTTTTTTGGCCATCGCACGCTCGCACTCGGTAATCTACCCCAGATACCACTGTACAACCTTTCCTTGATTTATACTGTAAATTACAGTATAATTTGCTTATTTTCATATGTTGATAGGTTTATCCCAAGATTTCCAAGATTTCCAAGAAAAGTTTTCTGGAAATCTTGGATCTTGGATCTTGGGTGCATCCAAGATTTCCAGCCTGCATCCAAGAAAAAAATTCTGGGAATCTTGGATCTTGGATCTTGGGTGCATCCAAGATTCTGCAAGTGCATCCAAGAAAAGTTTTCTGGGAATCTTGGATCTTGGATCTTGGGTGCATCCAAGATTCTGCAAGTGCATCCAAGAAAAGTTTTCTGGAAATCTTGGATCTTGGATCTTGGGTTTATCCCAAGATTTCCAAGAAAAGCTTTCTGGAAATCTTGGATCTTGGATCTTGGGTAGCAGGAATCGAGACTATGACACTCAAGTCTGAAGTCAAGTCTGAACTCAAGTCTGAACTCATGTCTCAAGAAACTCAATATAAAAAGCTTTCTCGAAATCTTGGATCTTGGATCTTGGATCTTGGGTAGCAGGATTCGAGACTATGACACTCAAGTCTGAAGTCAAGTCTGAACTCAAGTCTGAACTCATGTCTCAAGAAACTCAATATAAAAAACCTATCAAATTCAACATATGAAAATAAGCAAATTATACTGTAATTTACAGTATAAATCAAGGAAAGGTAGGTACCAGGGGGGGGTACCATATATATACACACACACATAATTTACGTATAATTATATATAGATAGATACATATATATATATAATAATATATATATATAAATACACTGTATTGTGATATATACATGTCCAACACACACACACTAAGCTGCTGCTTTAAATGTTACAGCTAATCCTCAATCATTTGTCCTGTCGCTGTTCGGTGAGTTTTTCCACGATGCCGTCGGCCTGACTAGAGAGAGGCTGCAGAAAGTTAATGTGCCAAAATAGTGGGAATCTGTGGGAATAAATGATGAATTTTGCTTTTCTATCTGATGGGGAAAACCGTAGATGTTCCATGTTTTTCCCTTCCACTTCTGGGATTCATCAGTTTTCCATGGTTGATCTTGGAGAACGAACAACCCCAAAAAAACAATGAAGCAGTGGCTCTTGGGGGTGTACTAGGTTCAACCACCTGTATCTGTAGCAAACCACTGAGCCATTGACAAACCAATGATTTAACCAGTATTTTTCTGTATTTCTTGGTTGTTCATGGTTATTCAAGCATTTCACCGGCTGGCAAAAGGAAGGTGACGGCTTTGGTGATCCTTCATCATCTTCATCCATTTCAAAAGGGAGGTTCCAGATTCGAAGCTCAGGGAGCAGGGCAAACTGGGGGGAAATCACCCATTTGTAGAGGAGTTTCCTGCAATAATTTGCCAGTATTCATCCGTATTCTCCACTAAACTGCTTGGTGGTTGAGCCACCAGCCTGAAAAAATCATGCTCAATGCGGATCATCATCCCTTTCGTTTGGGGATTTCAAGCCACCAAGCAGTGTGGCCAGACTGGCTGCAACCTGAAAATTTAGGTCAGCAAACGTGTCAGAGTCAACAGGAGCCAACAAATCTGGATCTTCTGCTGAAATGACTATGAGCAGGGCATAGTCGGTTTGTGGAATTGCAAACATGTTGTACAGTGACTGGCGGGCTAGGACTCAATCGATTGCAGGACTTGTTTGAGGGGCGAGGAGGCGTATCCACTATGAAGTGATGATTTGCTGCTAAAATGGCACCCCCCAATTAAAAACCAGGGGGTCTCCTAATCTGAGGTTAAGGCAAAATCCAATGATGTTTCATACATATTCTTATGGTTGGTCATATGTGTGTATAACATATATATATATACATATTTATACATATACCTCTTATCCATAAGGACATCATGTTGGAATCCCAGTCATATCCCAACATTTTGCCCCAGAGCCGTTGGTTTTTACAGGTGGCTCGACACGTGGCTCAACGGCCCTCCGACGAACGCGACCTGCTCGATGGGCTCCAACAATCGGTTTGAGCCAATGATGTCCTGGCAGAGGGCAACTACCCAGCTGGTGATATTATAATGGGACTTAATGGAACTATGATGGGCATATCATGGGAATATAATGGAATACATATATATATATGTATATATATATATATATATGTATATATATATAGAGAGAGAGAGAGTGACGTTTAATATGGTTAATTGGCTAATTCATCCAAAAAAGGGCGGTTTGATGAAAAACAATGATGGACCAGTTAATACAGGGAATTTTGGAACCTTTTTAATGATAGCAAATAATGTAATTACACATCCCAAGACATGTTACTTCAAACAACATGTTTTTTAAGAGTTTGGCAGGCAGACTTCTCATATCTTCTGATTCTCAGTCATATCATGTCATCATCACTTTGTCATTTGTCATTTTATTGTTCACAGCAGCCACCCATCAGTTCAGGCTTGGAACAAACACACATACAGTACCGTCAGCACCTCTTCTCACGTATTTGTGGGTGAAAGCTAGGTCAGGCATGCCAATAGGTTTGCAACTATTGATTCACAACGTAGCTATCCATCCCGCACCACATGTCATCTTCAAATTCTGAACAACAAAGCGGAAAATGATCGCATGTACCCCAAACATAGGATGTTTCAACGCTTTGGCATTGGATTGTTTAGTACAAAACTCTCACGGTTAAACCAATTTAGTGGGTCCATTGCTACCTCCTTTTATTCCTTTTAAGGACCTATTATACAAATTTAGGATTCATAGCCGACAGCCATGGACTGTCTCCTCCAAATATTCCAGAAGACCATCTTCATGCACCGACTGTGCCTGCGATCACGGGCTTATCACCATGATGTTGCGACATGATGTTGGTTGATACACTGTGGGACCCGCAAGATAGATAAGTAAAAATAATTCACACGTCAACCTACCAATACTTTTTTGTTGGATAGCAATGATATTCCTCCAACAATGAAGTGTCAAAAGCGAACAATCTTTGGGTTTCTTTGAAAAGCATATTGGAAAACCCAATTCTTCCAATTTCTCCATCTCATGATTTATCATCCAATGTTCCATCGATTGGCCCCCATTCAAATCGCAATTCCAACAGGATTTAGCACCATCGTTTCCAATATGTGTCCATTATGTCTCCAATATGGGGAATATGTTTCCCAAAAAAAACTCCATTTACAGTGGATTTTCCCATCAACCCCCCCCCATTTATGAATGTCTGCCATAGGTTTCCCCATGGTTTTCATCTCCTCCATTTTTTGCCGCATCGCTGTCGCACCTTCGGCTTCATTAAGGAGATCTGCTCAACCTCGCCTGTTGGGGTTTAAAAGCTGGCAGGTGATATTTTTTGTTGGATTGGTTTACTCATTAAACATTGGTCGTTAATGGGGATATAAGATTGGATTCTGGTGATATAATGGTCATTAAACCAACAAAAAGGGTGATTTAATGGGATTTAAGCAACAAACATTTGGGATGTCATGGAATTTGAAATCGATTCAGCCAACTAAAAAATGTAGATTTAATGGGGTTCAAAGGTACTCATACTAGGGATTTAGTCAACCAAAATGGGGATATAAATGGGATTTTCAAAGGGATGTAATTTAGTCATAGTTTATCAGTATTTTGGGGGGCGTGGTAGCCAAAGTTCACTATATCCGAGGGTGACCTAAAAAATGCAAGTACACAAGTTTGACCTACCTACCTGGCCAAGTGTGCCATGGTCATAACATCATCATCATCATCATCACCATCATCATCCCACCATATCCCACCACTGTTAGGTTGTCCTTACAATAGGGGCATATTGGTACCTTTTTGATGGGAGATTACCATTACCTTATATCGCAACCCCACAAGAAATGCGGAAGAGCTGGATACCGGTAAGTCCTGCGGAAACAGCATCGAACTACCATCCTGGAAAACATGTAATATATAATATTTTATATATATACATAGATATAGTATATACAATATCTATAATATATATATATACAATATCTATAATATATCTATTATACATATATATATATACTTTATAAGATTAACTATAATGATACATCTTTTTGGGAAACCCCCATTGTTCTGGAAAAACAAACCGTGTACGGCCCAGCCTTGCAGGATCAGGAAGCGGTTGTGATCCAAATCCACCCCGCGCTTCCGAAGCAGCTGGACCACCTGCGAAATCGTTTCGCAGTCTGAAGATGTTTAAAGTAGATGGATCACTAACACACAGTGTTCCTTGTTTTTTCCCCCCACTGTGTCCCATGGTGTTTTTCCATCCACTTGTTAATATTGGAACACCGTGGATACACCATGAACTAACACACATGGCTAACTGAATTGGGAGTGTGGAATTCACCATCAAACTCATCCAACTCATCATGGTTTTACCTAAATTGATTAATTTATAATAAGCATACAGAGCATCTACAGAAAGCACCTGGTTTTTACGGGTACCTTCTGGACATTTGACATAGCTATGGAACATGGCCCGTTTATAGATTATTTCTAATGATATTTTGAATGATTGACCATGATTTACCTATTGGAAACGATGTTTTTCCGTCGCTATGTCCCATTTTCAGGGATGAAGCAGCAACACTAATCTAAAATCATATAGGCAGTGCACTGGTTATTTGGCAACTATACCACATATGATATATCCATTTGTTAAAGACTGATTGATGGCTATCACCATACAAATTAGTCCATCTTTGATCATCTTCGTGTATAGATAGATAGGTAGATAGATAGATAGATAGATGGATAGATAGATAGATAGATAGTCATTCCCAAGCACCAAATGCGATGCTGGTATATCAAAGATGGACCAACTTATAGATAATCAATGGTTCAAAGAAACCCAATCACACAACATTGTTTTTCTACATGTCTTGTTGCTTCCAAATCCATTCCAAAGCAGCACAGTTGCTTCGGTCCTCGGTAAAGTTGCTGGTCTTGCCATCCACGTAGTATTTGGACTGGTTGTTGCGGAAGGCCTGGCGGCAACGGCAAGGTACATCCACTGATAACCCTGGTGATATCCATGGTTAGCAATGCTTATGCATATTATCCATGGTTATATCCATGGTTAAATCCATGGGTATATCAATGGTTACCTATGCTTATCACCATAGCCATGGTTATTAATCGGTATCACTGGGTATCAACGGTTGAATGGGACAGACCCGGAAGAGGTAGCCACTGTCTAGCCATGTGAACTACCTCAAAGCCAGGAGAATCTTTCCTCTTCATTTTTAGCAATTATATAGAAAATAGTATAAGAAAATAACTATTATCATAACTATTATTACCAGTAGTACCCGCACGAGGCGGGGCGGAAGTTGCCTTAAAGATATATATATAAGACCTTTCTCATCTATAGAACTTGCATGCGCCGTGCGCCAGCCAAGCCCGTTCGTGCGTGCATTCTGCGAAAGTGATGTCCTGTTGCACATGTCACATTTGAAGCTCCACTTCGCAATTCACACTTCTCACTGCACTCTTCACACTCCACACTTCACGCTTCACACTCCACACTTCACACTTCGCACTGCACTCTTCGCACTCCACACTTCACACTTCACACTTCACAGTCCACACTTCACACTTCTCACTTCACACTTCACACTTCACAGTCCACACTTCAGTCCACACTTCACACTGCACTCTTCACGCCCCACACTTCACACTGCACACTTCATCTCATCTGAGCTCTTCTCACCTTATCCCAGCTCATCTCTTCTCATCTCATCTCTTCTCATATGTCATCTAAGCTTTCATGAATCACTTCCCAGTACTTCTACTAAGGAACTGGATCTCGACGCCAAAGCGACAAAAAGACGATTTTGAAGCACTTTTAAAAAGAAATTTTAAAAGGAAAATTATTAGCGCCAAAATTGAGAAAATCTGCTGACAAATCACTTTCGCAGCCTGGATGCGGCCGTTCCAATACGATTTTCGATCTTCAGCTGCAAAACACAATAGTATTACGCATGCAGCCGGTGCACCCATCCTGTTCTGATTCGCATTCCCCAGTTTCTTCACAAACTTTGAATTCCTTATGTATCGTTTTTTTACCATACCTTTTTTTGCTTGGCATCACACAGAAACTGTTTTAGTTTTGCATCAAACACCATTGAAGCTACATGTCTTTACTTTACTCCAGAAGTAAGCAGAACTCAGCACCCAGCGCGATGCAGATCATGGCCCTTTTTCATCTCACTCTGAATCCTTGGCAACAATCATGCCTTGATCACGCGGCCCGCACTGGCACGCGCGCCATGGCAGTGAGTGTCCTGCACGCGCAAGCATCAGCGATGCAACAGCAGATCGTCTTTATCCAGACAACGTACCTTAAAAATAAGTCTGGAGTTACCTTCGGCCAGTGCCAAACCATCCTTCGTGACAATACGAGCAGTCTTGAAATTCAAGCTCGTTCAAAAAAGTATCGACTTCATTGACACGATGGAAAAAAGCCATGGTGCGGCTTTCGGCATCTGCGGAATTTCCGTACAGTTGTCGCAAACTCTTCGGCAACCTGGGCCGTGGCAAGTCATCTCCCAAGACTGTCTCCCGGCTGTGCAACTTTGCTTCATGCGATTTCTTCAGCGGCACAGTGGCTGCTGCTGGCAACAGCTGTCCTAGGGCATTTCTCACCATCTCTTTCTTGTCCTCTGTCAGACTCGGAAACGTGCGTTGCATGAAGTCATAACAGCAACGAAGTTCGGCATCTTGCTTCTTGGCGTGCACATTAAACAAAGACCCAACACTTGCTGCGCCACAGGATTGCAATTCTACTTTTCTTCGATCCAGGATCTGCATGAACTTGTCTACCGAATCAACTGCTGGAACACACAACAATGTTTCCCATTCCTGCAACGTCGCCTTCATATCTTCATCAAGCTTTTCATAGCTCCGTCGCCAAAAATTTCTGCCAAATACATATTCTGGCTTACCTGTACGCTCAGCTGCACACATGAGTTGAAGCAGCGTAGACTTTTACATCCCTTGCAACTCTTCTCTGTTATCTTCAAGAATGTTGACGAAACGATCGAACTCGGGCTGCGCAGATGCATGCTTCACACATACCCGCCGTTCCAAATCCTTCCACTTTTCCTTTTCTTCTTCATTCAAACTCTCATATGTGTAGTTCTTCACAAAACGATAACAAATGCCTCCCCAAGTTCTGCTCTGTGAAACAGTCCCACTCATGCAGACATCACGCAATGTACCTTTTCCCAAAGCCTTCATCTCCTCTAAGTGCGCTTCTGCAGCAGCACAAAACTTCCGAAAGGCTGCTCGCACATCTGACACGCAGTTTTGTTTTTCCCATTCTTGTATCACCTGAGTCTGTTCGGCCGAAAAGGTTTTCTCAAGAGCAAGATACATCTTGTAATACTTCCAACATTTTCCGGTGCTTAGACAAGCTTTCAACGTCTTACATTCCAGCACCTTCAAAGTCGCCGCTTCCTTTTCGATGTATGACCACAGATCAGCAAAGGTCCCCGATTGCGCCATGGCTCCACCGCGTCTTAGGAAACGGGCCGCGCTGCCACGTCTCCTTGCGCACTGCGACGTCCGAAATTATGAGCATGGCTGTCTCATCATGCATACCTTTCTCATCCACCAACCGCTCCAAAACATGAGAAAATCTTCGTGACTAACCATGAGACCTGAATACATGACACCTCTGACAAATGCACGTTCCCAATTCTTTCTTGCTACACACGGAAAATGCAAACAGCTGCGGCCAGAACACATCGCCACCGTGGTTTCTGGTCAAGAGTTCTATAGCTTGTTCCTGGACATCAATGTCACAACATTTACCTGCATCAATATCGCACACAAAACTCGAAATAGCAACCTACATCCACGAACTAGCTGACAAACTACTTCCCAGTACTACTTCCCAGTATATACTACTTGGTACTACACAGCTTGCACCCGATACTACTTTGCACTACAAAGCTTGCAAAAATTACTTTCCAGTACTACTTTGTACCACAAAACTTGCACAAAGTACTCCCCAGTACTACTTTGTACTACAAAGCTTGCACAAAGTCCTTCCCAGTATACTACAATTTGCAGCTTCAAAACCGGATCTCGACGCCAAAGCGACAAAAAGACGATTTTGAAGCACTTTTTAAAAGGAATTTTAAAAGGGAAATTATTAGCGCCAAAATTGGGAAAATCTGCTGACAAATCACTTTCGCAGCCTTGATGCAGCCATTCCAATACGATTTACGATCTTCAGCTGCAAAAGACAATAGTATTACGCATGCAGCCGCGGCACCAAGCAACCTTGACGCAGCCACTACAATGCGATCTGCAGAGACTGAGTTGCAAAACACAATAGAACTACGCGCAATGGCGTCGGAAATTGCAGCTCCAAAACCGGTTCTCGACGCCAAAGCGAAAAAAAGACGATTTTGAAGCACTTTATCAAAGGAATTTTAAAAGGAAAATTATTAGCGCCAAAATTGGGAAAATCTGCTGACAAATCACTTTCGCAGCCTTGATGCAGCCACTCCAATACGATTTACAATCTTCAGCTGCAAAAGACAATAGTATTACGCATGCAGCCGCGGCACCAAGCAACCTTGACGCAGCCAGTACAATGCGATCTGTGGAGACTGAGTTGCAGAGCACAATAGAACTATGTCGGAAACTGCAGCTCCAAAACCGGATCTCGACGCCAAAGCGAAAAAAAGACGATTTTGAAGCACTTTTTAAAAGGAATTTTAAAAGGAAAATTATTAGCGCCAAAATTGGGAAAATCTGCTGACAAATCACTTTCGCAGCCTTGATGCAGCCATTCCAATACGATTTACGATCTTCAGCTGCAAAAGACGATAGTATTACGCATGCAGCCGCGGCACCAAGCAACCTTGACGCAGCTATTACCATGCGTTTCGCAGCATCACGTCGCAAACCTGCACGTATCAACACACATAACAACACCAGAACATCAAATGACAACAGTCATGCAGCCATTCCAATGAGATTCCAAAACACCCTATTACTACGCACACACAAGCACACCCAAAGCAGCTTCAAGCCACCGTTACACTGCGGCAAAAAAAAAACGACAAACCGACCGAGCGCAGCCGCACCCGTCGCACACACGAGGTACCTTTCATCGTCGCCTGCAGCCACTTTACACGGAAAAACACAAGGTTTCGTGCTCCGGCTTCCTCCCCAAGACATAGCCCATGCAACATCATGCAGCCATTACAATGCGGTTCGCAGCATCAACTCGCAAACTTGCACCTATCTACGCACAGAACAACACCAGAACACCAAATGACAACAGTCATGCAGCCATTCCAATGCGATCTGCCACCGGAGATTCCAAAACACCCTATAACTACGCACACACAAGCACACCCAAAGCAGCTTCAAGCCACCGTTACACTGCGGCAAAAAAAAACGACAAACCGACCGCAGCCGCACCCGTCGCACACACGAGGTACCTTTCATCGTCGCCTGCAGCCACTTTACACGGAAAAACACAGGTTTCGTGCTCCGGCTTCCTCCCCAAACATAGCCCATGCAACATCATGCAGCCATTACAATGCGGTTCGCAGCATCAACTCGCAAACTTGCACCTATCTACGCACAGAACAACACCAGAACACCAAATGACAACAGTCATGCAGCCATTCCAATGCGATCTGCCACCGGAGATTCCAAAACACCCTATAACTACGCACACACAAGCACACCCAAAGCAGCTTCAAGCCACCGTTACACTGCGGCAAAAAAAAACGACAAACCGACCGCAGCCGCACCCGTCGCACACACGAGGTACCTTTCATCGTCGCCCGCAGCCACTTTACACGGAAAAACACAAGGTTTCGTGCTCCGGCTTCCTCCCCAAAACATAGCCCATGCAACATCATGCAGCCATTACAATGCGGTTCGCAGCATCAACTCGCAAACTTGCACCTATCTACGCACAGAACAACACCAGAACACCAAATGACAACAGTCATGCAGCCATTCCAATGCGATCTGCAACACAGATTCCAAAACACCCTATAACTACGCACACACAAGCACACCGAAAGCAGCTTCAAGCCACCGTTACACTGCGGCAAAAAAAAAACGACAAACCGACCGCAGCCGCACCCGTCGCACACACGAGGTACCTTTCATCGTCGCCTGCAGCCACTTTACACGGAAAAACACAAGGTTTCGTGCTCCGGCTTCCTCCCCAAACATAGCCCATGCAACATCATGCAGCCATTACAATGCGGTTCGCAGCATCAACTCGCAAACTTGCACCTATCTACGCACAGAACAACACCAGAACACCAAATGACAACAGTCATGCAGCCATTCCAATGCGATCTGCCACCGGAGATTCCAAAACACCCTATAACTACGCACACACAAGCACACCCAAAGCAGCGCTTCAAGCCACCGTTACACTGCGGCAAAAAAAAAACGACAAACCGACCGCAGCCGCACCCGTCGCACACACGAGGTAGCTTTCATCGCCGCCTGCAGCCACTTTACACGGAAAAACACACGGTTTCGTGCTCCGGCTTCCTCCCCAAGACATAGCCCAAGCAACATCATGCAGCCATTCCAATGCGATCTGCCACCACAGCTTCAAGAAACGCATAGAACTACGCACGGAACAACCACTCGTTGCAAAACACATAGGAGGAACAATTCGCGCACTTCCCTTCCTCGCCACTTCCTATCGTCACCACCTCCCATCGTCACCACCTCCCTTTGTCACCACCCTGTGTCATACCTTCTTATTCTATGTGATGTGCCACCCTTCATCAAGGTCAATCCTTTTGTGATGTATTGTTATGTAATGTAAAGTCTCACACTACCCTTCATCAAGGTCAAGGCTTTTGTGGTGTATTGTTATGTAATGTAAAGTCTCACACCACCCTTCATCAAGGTCAATCCTTTTGTGATGTATTGTTATGTAATGTAATGTCTCACAACAACCTTCATCAAGGTCAATTCTTTTCTGATGTATTGTTATGTAATGTAAGGTCTCACACCACCCTTCATCAAGGTCAATCCTTTTGTGATGTACTGTTATGTAATGTAAGGTCTCACACCACCCTTCATCAAGGTCAGTTCTTTTCTGATGTATTGTTATGTAATGTAAAGTCTCACACCACCCTTCATCAAGGTCAGTTCTTTTCTGATGTATTGTTATGTAATGTAATGTCTCACACCACCCTTCATCAAGGTCAATCCTTTTGTGATGTATTGTTGTGTAATGTAATGTCTCACACCACCCTTCATCAAGGTCAATCCTTTTTGTGATGTATTGTTATGTAATGTAATGTCTCACACCACCCTTCATCAAGGTCAATCCTTTTGTGATGTATTGTTATGTAATGTAATGTCTCACACCACCCTTCATCAAGGTCAATCCTCTTTGTGATGTATTAATATGTAATGTAATGTCTCACACCACCCTTCATCAAGGTCAATTCTTTTCTGATGTATTGTTATGTAATGTCAAGTCTCTCACCAACCTTCATCAAGGTCAATCCTTTTGTGATGTATTGTTATGTAATGTAATGTCTCACACCACCCTTCATCAAGGTCAATTCTTTTCTGATGTATTGTTCTGCAATGTAAAGTCTCACACCACCCTTCATCAAGGTCAATCCTTTTGTGATGTATTGTTATGTAATGTAAAGCCTCACACCACTCTTCATCAAGGTCAAGTCTCAGTCGCGCACCACCCTTCATCATTTCAAGTCTCAGAATTCTATTTGTCCGTAACACGGAAGTATTGCTTCCCAACTTCCTTTGATAACTATGTTCTAAATAAATATATATATATAACTATAATTATTGAATATTATTGATGTCGGAGATTTCCCCAGTTCCAGTTGTGCGCGCCTCTCGAGTCACGGTGAGAACAGAGCCTTTGACCACCTCATAATCTTCAGGTCCATCGCCTGCGGAGCCGGAAATTGCGCATCTTGTTGTGCCACGAACTTGATGCGAATTCTCCAAGATCGAACAATCACTAAACTATGCGTAGCTATGTGTATATATGAATATGTATGTATATACATGTATGTATAAGTATAAGTACAGATGTGCACATTTATTATAAATTGCAGTAGATCATAGGTCATGCATCCTAAATCCCATCAGCCGCGGCCTGTGTCCACGATGTCTTGAAAGGTGACCTCCACCTGGAGACCAGGGAGACCCATGGACAAATACCAGGTGAAATCACAACTTGGGCCCCCCAGTTATAAGTTGGTTTATAAACCCATCAACTATAGTTATAACTATCATAAACCATAGTTTTTAATAGGACTTAAGAACCAACTTAGCTATCTAGGGGGCCCAACTTTGTACTAGTATCAATTGTATACCATGGTGTGTGTGTATATATATATACAGTTGTATATGTTGTGGTAAATAATAACGGTATGACATGTATATAATGGTGCAGCATGATGAAGAATAATGGTATATTCAATGGTATATAATGGTATATAACGGTGTATTTCATGGAATATTCAAGACATATTCCCAACTGGTATATTTTACCAGCAATAATGGGTATGTACTGATCCGATTAACGACATATAAATTACATTATATAGCCAACTTTGGGGAAAAAGGCAAAATGGGCATGTTTACTACTGTATAGTGCTGTTCTCTACTTTTATCTTGTATTGACCAACTGGTGATACAGCTGTATACACCTATATATCTATATACTGTACACACTATACAGTACATTATCTTTGTACATCATATCATTCACGGACTACAGCATCTCCGTGTCACACGGCACACCTTGGCACTGTTGAGGTTCGGCATCGCATTTGAGGAATGGATGAGCTCAGACACCTCAAACGCGGTCGTCATGCTGGATCTTGCTGGGGAAAAAAACGGCCCGCTTACTCTGAGTGACCATTGAAAGTGAAGGATGTGAATGTTGATAAAGCAATAGTAAGCATTAGTGACTATTGGTGACTATTAGTGACTATTAATGAAGGATGTGACATGGATTTACTATTAGTCACTACATAGTCATTAATAGTCACCAATAGTGAATCCATGTTCACTATATAGTAGTCACTCATGTTAGTAAAGCAACAGTAAACAATCCCCGTTTTTCTACCATACACGGATGGTATAAACCGTCAAACTATGGGTGGCTTATTATTGCTGTACTAACATTATCGCGTATTCACTATCTGTTCCATAGCGTGGAACATGATTCATTTGGGATGAACAATGATGAAAAGATGTACGCAGGCATGTGTGTACCATTTGGATAGACATGGAATTATAAGGTGGGTGGCACGTTGGTCTAGAAATCATAAGTAAAAACCAAGCAACAAAATAGGAATGGCCGGAATGGGGCAAAGTCAAAACGAATTCAAAAAAAAACATTAATCTCTCTTTAAAAACAAATCTGGTTGGTGGTTTCAACCCCTCTGTAAAATATTAGTTGGTATTATTGTTCCCAATATATGGAAAAATAAAAAAATGTTCCAAACCACCAAACATATATTGATGGCTTCGTGATTAAGAACCATTTCAATTTGTGTGTCCATGGCTACCTCAATGACTTGACCGCTACATCGATGATTCAAGATGTTCCCAGCATTCAAAAAATGGAGCTTTCATAAGATAGGGCTACCCCACAAGGATGATTGACTGGGGAAACCTCCAAATAATTTTCCAGTGGACCTAGTTTTCAACCCTTCTCTGGTGCAAAAGCTGTACCTATGTCTGCAGCCCCAAAGGGTGGTTGTGTGATGTTGTGTGTCACCTTCATCGTCACTAGTTTTTTTTCACGATTCGCCCCATACAATCTGGCTAAACAAATCACTACCCTGAAATAAGGCTATACATTAATATTGGGATAATTCTCTGAACCCAATTCCTATCATTCCAGGCTTCGGTCACTATAATTTACCCAAATACCATGATATATAATCATTCAAAACCATTTATAATGGTGTTTTATTTCTATATTTCACTATTTTTCACTATTTATCACTAATATAGACTGCTGTTTTATTTCGGGATCCTATCTTCAGCCCGCCTTGTTGAGCCGCATCTTCTTTGCTCGCTTGCCAAAAACGAAGAGCAAGGCATCAATGGTATTGGACCTGGTGATTCAGTGGGGATTCCATTGGGATTTAATGGTGATTTAGTGGTGATCTAGTGGTGGTTTAATATGATTTAATGGTGATTCAATGGGGATTCAATTGGGATTCAATGATTCAATCCCCCAATATGAAACACCCCCCCTTAGAAACCATAGTTTAGTGGGAAACGTCCACAGAATTGGGACAATTGGGACCATAGAATGGCTCAAAAAAGGGGGATGGGATTAATCAATTGAGATTCTATGAGCTGTTGTATCAGCATGGGGTTTTGCCACCAATGCCATTTTAAAGGGACAATGGTGAAATGGAAACAAATCTCAGGAACCAAAATGGGACACTTTGAATTCAAATGATTTGCAGGGTTGAACCCTGGAACGCCCGGCAATGGTGAAAAATCATGTAGAGGACTCTGGATTGTGGGATATCACAAGATCTTGCTCATGCCAAGATGAATGTAGGATGACATCCATTTGTGACCCAGTGCTGGCTCAGCAGACATGTTTCTTGGCCGTTTTTTGGATCAATTTTGCAGACAATTCCCGCTGGGTTCCATGCTTCCCACTTCCATTTGGCCCGACGATAGAAGAAAAACCTCACTGCCAGGGTGGTAGAGTCAAAAGTGGTTTGGTATTTTCTGAGAAAAAACATTTTGTTCAAACAAACGTTTTACGAAAATGATCCATCAAATCTAATTGAAACAAAAACAAATACCTGTTTGTCGTTGTCTGGATTGCAAAATGCTGCCGTGTTTTTTTTATCGTTGGTTTTGAGTTCCAAGCTCTTGTGGAAAGGGCCAATCACCTGCGCCGGATACCAAAACATGCATGCGTGTTTCAACATGAACAAATTCTAGCTAATGCGGACAAACCCACTTATCATCAATCCACACATGGCAGGTTTATGATTGGGTTTACCACAATATGGAAATCCATGTCATTTTTTGTGGTTAACATTTTGCAACAAATCCGATTTAATTCATTTGCGTTTGGAAATTTGGAATCCACAAATCACCAAAAAAAGGAACTCTGACGTTTGGTGGAATCATCGCTGGTTCAAGATGTTATATTGCAATATGTGTTATTTGTAATTGCATGTGAAATACAAAATCTTTATAAGTGGTTCGGAGGAACAAATGCATCCAATGAGTGTCGGTGCATTGTTGCAACATTGACCACCTGCGATCTCCGGACGTCTCCAACCTGTGGCGGCGCCCACCCCTGCACCTTGACACCGCCATATGATTTGAAGTTTTCCAAGACAATTTGCCGAATCATCAGTCGAGGCACTGGGCCCTGCCAGCAGTGATGATGGGGCTCGGACTTCTGGAAGTTGAGATTTGGAAAAGGTGCACACCGCTGGGGCGCAAAGTAAGTTTCCACGTCAAGATGTACAAAACACTTCAGCTTCGGAGCACTTTTGGAAATTGAGATGTTCAAAAGCGAAGCACACACTACGCTCAGAGCACTTTTGGACGTTGAGATTTTCAAAAAGTGGCGCGAAGCACGTTTCCAAGTCAAAATGGTAAAAACAGTACTTGTTGTCCGCAACCTTAACGTTCGCCCAGACTCATCATTGTGACATAACAGAGACAGTTCTGTGTTGCTGGGAAGCTGCGAATCCAAGCAATGCCAAGGGGGAAAATTAGGCCACGGTGGCATGTGAAAGATACCTTGAATACAGTTATCTTCATGAGGAAAAATATCACCTGATCATCATGAGGGATATGCTGAACGGGCTAACAACACGCCACCCTCTATGGCTTACATCGTACATGTTTAGACCACTTATGGACGTTCAGGCATCGTTTTGTGTGGCAAACGCAATGGATTGATTCTGCACCTTGTGAAAAGTGAGCCAAACGTGTGGGTTTTGTCGCATGCATGTCTCGTGGCAGGCGCAGTACAAGAGACATTTCCATTAGACATGTTAGGAGGTCAAGGAGCATATTTCCTGCTGGTTGCATTTTGGAGCATCAGATCTTCAGGTTTCCTAAGATGATTCGGCGTGACAGGTGCAGCACTTCGATTGACCTAACCCATTTTTCGTGGCATGAGCATTACTTTGGAGAGATGGGATGGAAAAATCACAAAACGTATTGGTAGGAGGCTTTCAGTTCAGCAGTCAACTTTCCATTTCGGTAGCCTTGCAGAGTTGCTTCGTTTTTGATGTTGTCAACTTTGAAAATTGAGGCATTGTCGCAGAATTGTGTTTTCAAATTCAAAAACTAAGGAAGCCTCAGAGAAGAGCTTCGTTTTTCGGCTTTCAACTTCCAAATTTCACAGAAGTCTTGCAGGATAGCTTCGTTTACGGGCTTGCAGATGGAAAGATAGATAGATAGATAGATAGATAGAAAGACATAGATAGATAGATAGATAGATAGAAAGACATAGATAGATAGATAGATAGATAGATAGATCGATCGATAGATCGGTAGATAGAAATATAGGTAGTAAGACAAGATAAGGTTAGATTAGATTAGATACGATTAGATTTGATTGAAAGACAGATAGATAGATAGATAGATAGATAGACAGATAGATCGGTAGATAGATAGATGGATAGACAGACAAATAGATAGGTAGCCCGACACTCCAACCACCTTTTGATCCATCAGTTGGTTCGCTCTGCCATACAAGAGTCACAGCAACCAAGCTCTCCTATTGGTTTCCTATCTTTGAGGCTTACGCCGCCGCCTTGCGCGGTACTACTGGCAGCAAACCTTGTAATTGGATAAAAGTAATAGTAACTAATTAGTACTAATAGTGGTGTTTTAAGCAGCTGGCCTTCTTTCTGTCAGGTTCAACATCCAAAGGAATGGTGAGAGAACATATAATTCATGTCGAATTGGAATGGAAAACTTCGAAAAAAAAACATCACAAAAATCAACAAACTGAAACAGCGTAAATTCCCAACCGAACGGCCCAAATTTCGAACAAAACTGCGTTTTGAGTAGTTTCAAACCGCATTAATCTTTGATGTGCCATAGTTGGGCGCGCGCTTCAGCTCATGAATGTGAAAAGGGCAGTGCGAAACATGCAAGTCACAGCAACAGCAATAAATTTTGGACACAGCCTGGCTTCATCTGTTTTCTAACTGCTTCCAAAGCCGTTGTGATTGAACTCTGATAGCGGTGCAACATCCGGAACAAAAACACACGCGTAAACAGCAGGAGCATGGATCCCTACAACAAACACCCGACGCCAGCACACGCCAGCCATCATGGTGAATAATCGCTCCACCGATCGCAATGGAAGCCTTAGTGTCTTCGGCTTTTTGGTCGACGACTTCCTGCGCCGCTGGAGAACTAGCTTCGCCATGGTCAAGGTTTGTGTCTGCATGCGTGGCCCAGCCCCATCCCCCCGTCTCCTCCTCCTGGGCGGCAGCTTCCTTCGCTTCACCGACCTCTGCCTGCAGCGCTTGCGTTTGGTGAGTCGTGGGACCAAGCGCATTGCGCGTACTGTGTGCAGTTCCAGATCCTGCTCCAGGTTTGCTTTGGTATACCTTTATCCCTGTGCATGGCTCGCGTCAACCACTGCACTCCTGTCTGCGAACGTGATGTACTTTTTCTTGGTTTGTTATGCTGAATACTTTATGACCTGATCGAAGACGCCTGCCCCTGCATATGAAATTATAGTCCCAGCAAATCTCGCAAGAAGTGGTCTCAAAAAAAACTTGTCAGGCAAAATTGGGATCATGTTCTTAGATCTGTGGTACTAGAGGAATGATATACAATACCCTCTACTATATATACACTTTATGCTAGATGAAGGTTGCATGATACCCGCATGTAGATGTACAAGTAGTTTGTAGATCTTTGGTACTTAAAGGTACATTGCGCATATTCCACCGCGATGGGTTATATATCGAATCTGATCTGGGAGTTAGCTAAAGAAAATAGTAATCAGGGGTTGTGAGTGGCTGGCTGGTTCCTGCGTTTATATAGATCAAAATTTGAATTTCTCTGTGAGCCTAATTACCTTTTGCAGCTGGAAAGCTGTGTGCCTTATGTACAAGGTACACATGGCTGGGAATACATTAACTCCAATTTGTCCCCATGCACTCAGAAGCGGTTCGCAAACCGTGGGCAAACAGCAAGTCACGAGCGGGATCTGAACAGTACATAGGCAAGACCTCAATAGTACATTGAAGAGCTAAGAAGTACATCGGCGACGGTATTTTGCAAGAAAACAACATAAAGAAACCCTTAGCACTCCGTGGGCAGTGGGCAGTGCTAGCGGTGATATATATATATATACGTACATACATACATACATACATACATACATACATACATACATACACACATTACATACATTACATACATTACATACATTACATACATACATACATACATTACATTACATTACATTACATACATTACATACATTACATACATTACATACATTACATACATTACATACATTACATACATTACATACATTACATACATTACATACATTACACATTACATACATTACATACATTACATACATTACATACATTACATACATTACATACATTACATACATTACATACATTACATACATTACATACATTACATACATTACATACATTACATACATTACATACATTACATACATTACATACATTACGTACATTACATACATTACATACATTACATACATTACATACATTACATACATTACATACATTACATACATTCCATACATTACATACATTACATACATTACATACATTACATACATTACATACATTACATACATTACATACATTACATACATTAAATACATTACATACATTACATACATTACATACATTACATACATTACATACATACATTACATACATTACATACATTACATACATTACATACATTACATACATTACATACATTACATACATTACATACATTACATACATTACATTACATACATTACATACATTACATACATTACATACATTACATACATTACATACATTACATACATTACATACATTACATACATTACATACATTACATACATACATACATACATACATTACATACATTACATACATTACATACATTACATACATTACATACATTACATACATTACATACATTACATACATTACATACATTACATACATTACATACATTACATACATTACATACATTACACATACATTACATACATTACATACATTACATACATTACATACATTACATACATTACATACATTACATACATTACATACATACATACATACATTACATACATTACATACATTACATACATTACATACATTACATACATTACATACATTACATACATTACATACATTACATACATTACATACATTACATACATACATACATACATTACATACGTTACATACATTACATACATACATACATACATACATACATACATACATACATACATACATACATACATACATACATACATACATACATACATACATACATAATACATACATACATACATACATACATACATACATACATACATACATACATACATACATACATACATACATACATACATACATACATACATACATACATTACATACATTACATACATACATACATACCTACATACATGCATTAATTACATACATACATACATACATAGATACATACATACATACATACATAACATAACATTCAATTACATTAAATTACGTTACGTTACATAATCATTACATTATGTTACATTACATTGTTACATTACATTGCATTACATTACATACATACATAGGTACATGTATATACACGCCGAGACCCTCCAAGTACATACAAAGGTGGGTAATAGACCCATTGTTTTGGGACGCTTTCCTATTTAATGGATACTTGGAGGGTCTAAGTATGTATATATATATATATGTATATGGCATTAATGCTACGTTTACGATGTGATTTTAGGAGCCGATTTCTGGCTTCCATAGAAACCTATGTAACCTATATCTAGATATGTAAAAATCATGATATTATTGAGATTGCGACTTTTTTTTGGAGGTTTTGGCGGCTGCTCATGTGTATATAAAATGGTTTTGACCATGTTTTGGAAGGGTGATTCATTACTGTATTTAATGCAACAATATGTCGTCAACTCCCTAATCCTCAATGTGGGGGTTCTGGGGGGGCGGGCGGTGACGATATATATATATATATATATACATAATATATATATATATATATATGTTTATTTATTTATTTATATGTGTGTGTGTCCCGGAATCTGGGATTACAGCAAATTCAAGCACGGCATCCTCAAAATGACAAGCTATCTCCATTGAAGATGCAAGCCACAGAGAAAAAAGCAGCAAGTGCAGGCCAACAGCACAAGCAGTGAGCTTGGAAAAACAACATGCCAGTGGACTCTGTAGCTATGGGATGTGGCATGTTGAAGCCAAACCCTCGGCACACCTATACAAGCCCTGGCAGTGGACGCCGGGTGCATGAGATCTTCCTACGGTATGAAGGAATTCAGGCAGATCCTGTGACCCGGGACCGAAGTATTTTATGTTCCACAAACTCATGTGAACTGTAAATCGATCATGAAGGATTATTGGATGACTAGATTAACATATTCTCATGGATAGATGGACGGACGGACGGATGGATAGATCACCATATAAATAACAACTATAATATGCATGTATATCGAATGACTTTGACTGTGTCCTGCCTTTTCAGCTGTGTTCAACAAAGGCAATGAACATAGGTTTCCTGTGCAAACATGTGCAAACTATGTATGCAACCATTTCAACCACAGGATATGCAATGGTTTTTGACCTTGAAACCAGCGTTCCTTTGGGGTTCACATGTAATATCATGTCATTAGTCGCGCCCAGTGGCCACTTCAGATTTTGGATCAAGCCTTCGTATGGCTCTGGATCTAACCGGCGCATTGAACATGAAAATACCTTTCATACCCTCTGGAAATGACTAACATAGCTATGGATAATCACCATTTTTAATGGGAAAACTCACTATAAATGGCCATGTTCAATAGCTATGTTAGTTTACCAGAGGGTAAATGGGCCCATTTATGGCCCATTTATGGAACATCATAGGTTTTGACCCACCAAGGTATCCCCCAGATGCCAATTCAGAAGCTTACATTGAGGTCGGCCAGGAAGTTTGTTGCGCCCATTGCCTGGATGATAAAAATCATTCCGTCCCATGGTTTACAATTTTGCTATATCGCCCATTTTTAGGAACAGCCACATACTCACCATGGATATGGCTTAACCATAATCATTCACCACGGGAATTTCAGGAATCGCTAGTCCACCCTGCATTCTTGTTCCCGAATATCAGCAACCAAACAGTAGTAACGATGTTGATGACAGTTCTGATGTGGCCAGATTTTAGATATATAATTAATTAGATATAATTAGTCATCATCGATCAGATTTGGAGCCATTATCTATTTTCAGACAAGCCCTCATCTGGCCAGTCATGGATGGTACGGGTCATGACATGCCTCTTTCGCCTCATCTTCGGGTTGAGGTTCCTCTCCTTCCGCCTGAGAAATTTAGGGGCACTTGTATCTTGTGGAAACTTTATGGGTATACGTTGGTTACCTCAGATAAATTTGTATACTAACAATATGTCCATTTGTTGGGGAGGCTTTGTTTGTTAATTTTGTCAGGTATCTCAATCTCAATGATTCGTCTTTGCTCCGAGACAAAACGAAAAGGGCTGGGTGAAGAGTTTGCGTTTGAATCTGGTGAGCAAGAGAATCATAAGCTCCACAAGATCGCTTAAATGGAATGCTGGCTTGCTACTACTCGCCGACCGTTGTGTGCTGAATCTAATGGATCATTCAACCAGTGGGCCCAACATGTTGACATAGGAACGGGCCCGTCACCAATATTGTCCTTTAAGGAAAAATAGAGGGGCCGGTTTGGTATACTACCTATATGTATACATATGTATATATATATATTTAAATATGTTGTTGAATGGGGGGGAAGCCTCTATTAATGAACCAACTAGTAACAGGACAACTATATCCCTAACGGCTGCCGCTCCTCCTCTACTTCTTCGTCCTCAGCCTCAGCCTCATCGGTCTTTTGCCTCTTTGCCTCAGGGGACATCAATGGACCGGTGATGGATAGAGGGTTGATGATTATGGTAACATCAATTTCAATCCCTACCCCTTTAGAGGGGGAGGGCGGGGGGGGGGGGCAAACCCAACTTGTCGAATTCCCACTTTTTTTTCCCCACCTGCCAGGTGAGGGTTGTTAGATTTTATGTCCAGTTGCCCCTCCTCCTTCTCCTCCTCCTCTCGCCTCCTCCTGCCTCGTCCTCCTCTCCTCCTCCTCCTCGTCCTCCTCGTCGTCCTCGTCGTCCTCGTCGTCCTCGTCGTCCTTGCTCAACTGCGACCCGCGATCCACAGTGTTCTCTGCCGGACCTCAACCACGACCATCCACGCCCAGTGTTCCCTGCCGGACCTCAACCACGACCATCCACGCCCAATGTTCCCTTCCGGACCTCAACCACGACCATCCTCGCCCAGTGTTCCCTGCCGGACCTCAACCACGACCATCCACGCCCAGTGTTCCCTGCCGGACCTCAACCGCGAGTATCCACGCCAAGTGTTCCCTGCCGGACCTCATGTAGGAAGATATGGGACAAAGAATGTGCAGAAGAAAGTTAGAAAGAATGTCAGAACGAATGTCAGAAGAATGCCAGAAGATATGCCAGAAGAGTATGCCAGCCATAGAATAGCCAAGAAGATGCCAGAGATTTGCCAGATAGAATGCATGCAGCCAGAGCCAGATATGTCAGAAGAATGTCAGAAGATATGCCAGATAGAATGCCAGAAGATATGTCAGAATATATGCCAGAAGATATGTCAGATAGAATGCCAGAAGATATGTCAGATAGAGTGCCAGAAGATATGCCAGATAGAATGCCAGAAGATTTGCCAGAAGATATGCCAGATAGATGCCAGATCAGATGCCAGAAGATATGCCAGATAGAATATGCCAGATCCATATGCCAGAAGATATGCCAGATCAGAAGATATGTCAAATAGAATGCAGAAGATATGTCAGATAGAATGCCAGAAGATATGTCAGAATATATGCCAGAAGATATGCCAGATAGAATGCCAGAAGATATGTCAGATAGAGTGCCAGAAGATATGCCAGATAGAATGCCAGAAGATTTGCCAGAAGATATGCCAGAAGAATGTAAGAAAATGTATAATGTCATGGTGGGGATCACACGAAGTAAAGTAATTTGCTTGGAAACCCTGGGATAGTGATCCAATTGCTCAAATTTTTAAGTAACATTTCTTGACAAGCCTTGGGCACTGGTTAGAAAATACTTGCGCGTCGCTCCGGAGGAGCTAAGCGCAAGTATGATGATGGCAGCGCAATTTTTGGAGGGATGCCACCCCTACACATGTGCTGCTTCAGTCTGACATGCGCTTAGCTCCTCCGGAGCTAATCGCAAGTATTTAATTTTCGTCTGCTTGCCAATGATATGGAATGACGAGGAATGCTGATCATTGAGAAAAAAAATGCAAAAATGGAATTTTTAAAATGACATGTCAGTACGAATCCCCCCCCTTACATTTCATGTTTAAGAGGGTAGGGATCAATTTCAGGTGAAAGATAGAGTTTTCATGATTGGTCGATGATTGGTAGATTTAAAAGTTGGTATCCAAAAACTTGAAACACCACTTGAAATGTGATGGTTCCAACAATTTCTTGTACCCCATGGGACCGAAAAAAAAATTACTTTACTTCGTGTGATCCCCACCATGACATTTATACATTTTCTTACTGGCAAATCTTCTGGCATTCTATCTGACATATCTTCTGACATTCTATTTGGCATTCTATCTGGCATATCTTCTGGCATATGATCTGGCATATCTTCTGGCATATCTTCCGGCATTCTATCTGGCAAATCTTCTGGCATTCTATCTGGCATATCTTCTGGCACTCTATCTGACATATCTTCTGGCATTCTATCTGGCATATCTTCTGGCATATATTCTGACATATCTTCTGGCATTCTATCTGACATACCTTCTGGCATATATTCTGACATATCTTCTGGCATATCTTCTGGCATATCTTCTGGCATATCTATCTGGCATATCTTCTGGCATATTTTTTGGCATTCTATCTGGCAAATCTTCTGGCATTCTATCTGGCATTCTATCTGGCATATCTTCTGGCATATTATCTGGCATTCTATCTGGCATATCTTCTTGCATATCTTCTGGCATATCTTCTGACATTCTTTCTGACATTCTTTCTAACTTTCTTCTGCACATTCTTTGTCCCATATCTTCCTACATGAGGTCCGGCAGGGAACACTTGGCGTGAATACTCGCGGTTGAGGTCCGGCAGGGAACACTGGGCGTGGATGGTCGTGGTTGAGGTCCGGCAGGGAACACTGGGCGAGGATGGTCGTGGTTGAGGTCCGGCAGGGAACATTGGGCGCGGATGGTCGTGGTTGAGGTCCGGCAGGGAACACTGGGCGTGGATGGTCGTGATTGAGGTCCGGCAGGGAACACTGGGCGTGGATGGTCGTGGTTGAGGTCCGGCAGAGAACACTGTGGATCGCGGGTCGCAGTTGAGCAAGGACGACGAGGACGACGAGGACGACGAGGACGACGAGGACGACGAGGAGGAGGAGGAGAGGAGGACGAGGCAGGACGAGGCGGAGGAGGAGGAGGAGAAGGAGGAGAAGGAGGAGGAGGAGGAGAAGGAGGACGAGGAGGAGGACGAGGAGGCAACTGACATAAAATCTAACAACCCTCACCTGGCAGGTGGGGAATCACTGTTGGCTTCCATCGAAATACCAACCATGTGGATGATAACTTGGGGTCACCCACTTTTATGAAGAGCAACCCCATAGTTTGTTTTTTGGTTATTGTTCACCACCAAACATAATTTTAAAAAACAACTATAAAGCATGGGTTCCTGTAAATGGGAACCCATCATTCAATTCTGCAGCTGCCCCCTAATCAGATATATCATAGTATATCATATATGCGTATCAACCCATCAAACTATGGTAGTATATCATAGTATATCTACCATCTGGTTATGTAACATAGCCATGGAAAATCCACACATTTTATAGCTAGGTAAACCATCTATTTCTATGGGCCATGGCTTCCATGGCTATGTTAGTCATAACCAAACGGTACATTGAGCTACCGCAAACCCTTTAGTGAATGGATCCGTAACCAGCTTGCTGTCACAGCTACGGATTCCTGGGTGTCGGTCGACCGCTTGTTATTTCTCCTTGGTGCCATATCAGGCAAACCTCAGGGCGTCGCGCGGACCCACAATTCACAACCTTAGTCCGGGAGTAAATGCAATCTTGTGAGTGGTGAAATAGATCTGGATAGATTCAAAAAGAACTTCGCAACCTGAAACGTGTCCTGATTTTGGGATGATTCCCTCATCACTGCGCCGCGCCTATTGACCCCGAACAAAACCGCGCGGGACTTGAAGCGGCTGGGCCACCCTACACACAGCAACTGCTTGCCAGAACACAAAAGGGTGATCCCGGCAGTGCCACAACAGCTGTCAGCCAAAATGGCTGTGGTACTGTGACAAGTCGAGCTGTCCATGATGGATATAATATGATATAATATTATACAATATCATATAATACGGAACAATCTGATAATCATATATTGATAGATATGGAAGCGGAATGTTAAAACTGGAAAATACACCGACACAATCCTACACAATCGATGTGTAAAACTGGTGGCAATGCATTTCTGTTTCTAGTTCACGGATTCCAAGGTGGAAATGTCGGCATTGGTGACTTGCTCTTGTTATCTCATGGCTCCCCATCTTTGCATGGACATGTCGATCCGCATGTCGGTGCCCTTTGAAAGAACTTGTTTCCACATCGTTCCTTGCTGTAGCATGTTGCGACAATGAAAGGTCTTTCCGAGGAAAAATAAAAACTCAAAAACATATCCCAAGGATGGATGAACAACAATCAGTCCTTGGAACCCTCTAAACAGGGACAAGATTAAATAGCTGCCACATGAAGTTGCCATATATTTGCTTATGTATCTCAATTATATTCGCAGGTTCCATAAATTTGTCATATATGTTCCATATGTGTTCCATAGATTGTCCTATTTGCCATGAATTTTCCATATCTCGAACCCCCCCGGTTCCCAGATCAGTGGTTCAATCCCAACATCTGCCACACGTTGCCTCGGACCGGGATGCGACTCGTTCAAATTTTCGAGCACCTCGGAGCGATTGGTGGCTGGGAAGAAAACAGTGGTTTTATGTACTTTAAAGATCTTTAAAGATCCCAGATGCTCCATGCTGCTGGAATATTTACCTATATTTACCCCAATAATGACCCAAATGATCCCAAATGAATATTCCATAGATGGAACATCTTTAAAGATGGTCTATGTACCTAACAGCGAATGCAGTAGTTTGAAAATCCCGCTGGGAACTTAGTGACCTAGTGCTGCTACTCTTCGATTGCTTGAATCATATGTTTCTCTTACTTTTCCTTTTTCTAACTATAAGAATAACTATAGTGAACGATCCCAGTTTCTGTACAGCAGTGTTTTTTCTTTACCTTTACCCCAACCCCCAAACTTTCCCCATGTTACTGTGTGTATGTTCTTCCTCTTCATTCTTTATCATCCACATTTACAATACACCATCTGGAAATTCAACAAATATGCAAAATCCACAATGTGCGGATCATGTTCCGAATGGGAGAAAAACAATGATGGTTCCTTAATGTTCCATATCTACGTGAATTTATAGGGCATGGGAAATCCGTTCTGATTTTCCCATGGAAACCCTCCATTTTTCATGGGATTGTCCCATTTCTTGTGCCCACATTGATCCACACCGTGGCACCTCCGAGCGCCAGAGCTGCTCGGGAAGACCACAACCGGGTGCGCCACTTTTTTCAAGCATGACCTCGGGGCGACCTGGAGGACCTGGACGAATCACTGTTTTGTTTTTTTTGTGACGCACACTGTTCGAAAATTCGTAATTATGACGCACACACTATATATATATAAATATGTATAATATATATATTATTGTATATATATATATATACATAATACATACAGAGATAGATAGATCAATCCATAGATAAATAGATAGATAGAATGTAGGGACGCAGATACTGATATGTGTAATCATTTGGCAATAAATACCCCACATAATAATGATGGTTCGCATATGACATCTCCCCCACTGAAGTCCGTAACTTGACTAAACACCCAGAGCATCTTGCAGAATCAGAGTTGAGATTGACACTTACCCATCAAGTCCATATGAACATGACCTGAAAGTCCTTTTAGCTATGGTTTCAGATCCTGAACATGTTCGTCTCGTAGTAGGAGATCCTAAAGAATGCAGTTAACCTTTAATGATGACTTTCCCATAGGCCACGAGTAATAATTAAATTTACTTGAATCCCTACATATACACCGAATTTCATCGTCATGAACACACAAAAACCATGAGTTTAAACCCTATGTTGTTGGTTGGTTAAATCCCTATGTATCCTTTGGATCACATAGCTATGGAACCCATGACCCATAGGCCCAAATCGACAGATTATGATTCGATTGATCTCTTCAAACATGCTGATGTTCCAGTTCACTACGTTACCATCTGGTTATTTAACAGTTTACCATGGAAAATCCACCCATTTTATAGCTAGGTAAACAATCTATAAATGAGCCATCTATACCATGGCTATGTTAAATAACCAGAGGGTAACCGCATCCATCTTAAAACCCGTTTTTTTAGGTGCCTCGATCTGCCGCCCAGTAACGCTGAGCTGATGCGCGTCGTGGCGTCGCTTCCACTCGTCCATCTTTTGCTTCTGAGAATGCCTGCAGGTTCTTGTCGCATCCATCAACAATTGAGCAATGTTCAAAACACCAGGTTGGTTGATGATTATAATCTATAGTCTAACCAATATATTGGGGATTATCATAATCCATTGTGGGAAACCGTTTGAATGAACCGGTTTAGTGGAATGACAGAGGTTTAGTTTATTAACACTGCTCAATTATATGTTCACAAATCGGTACATACACTTCCTGAGAAGGTATTTGGTTTATAGACCAGTAACAATATCCATCAACAATGTGGTAGTTGTGGAACATTGAACATATGTAAATCAGCACTAGTCCTAGTTATTGGCAATTTCCAACTTTCTTGGAACCCTAAACTGGGATAGCACTGGGTTTGGTATCTGAAATAGGCACAACGCACATTTGAACAAATGGTTCATCTTGAACATGTTGTGCATTGGAGTTGCTACATTCTTGTGTGTACTCCATCTTTGAACAAACCCATATGACATATTATTACATGTTCTTTTAATATAGGTAGGTGGATGATGTTTGGTGGGGAGCACGAGAGGATTCTTTTTTTGAGGAAAAACATGCAGTTATTTACACATTATTTTAACATAGAGGAGGTAGATAAGTTCCAGCAACGAGATATCATGCCCAATAAATAACTTGGACCTGGTCGGTTAGGAACCCCAGAATTCCCGGTTCTAAATAGAGTTTCTATGTGTGTGTTGAATAGATTTAATGGGTTGCGAAGAAGATCAAACATGTGACTATTGCCCCTTCTCAAATGCTTGTTGACGGGGTTGTTACCAGGTGTATACGTCAATACCAGTACAATACACCCCACTACATCAATCCATCATCAGATCGCATTCAGAACCAAAGTTCAATCTTTACAACCCCAAACATAATTTGATACAATCATAACTAATTCCAATATATTCCAATGGGTATGGAAAATGGTCCATTTATCATTGATTTACCTATTAAGATGGTGGTTTTTCAGTGCGCTATGTTAGTTTATCAGAGGGTAATATAATCCTATTAATGTCAGAAACCCAATAAACCATCCGCAAAATCACAATTTTCTGTGGGTTACACCCTCCAAGAATGGTAGATCTATGGCATTGGGTGAATCCCGCATTGCTCCTACATATCCATTACTTCCAAGTAGATGTCCATTCATATCCCATTCTAGCACCATACATGGTTAAGTCACCATATGTTTATGGTTCAATACATCTAAATTCCGGCGTAATTGTAAGTGGATATCATTTCTGTCTTTTGTTGTTTTAACATACACCGGTAGATCCAGCATTTTTTGAATTCTCCGGCGTTTTTGCAGAATTCCGGCGTTTTGACGAGTTTCCGGCGTAAATTCAGCAAAATTTTGCCTCCGGCAAAAATATTTGCCGAAAAAGTTTCTAGGTATATATATATATAACACAAGGAAATATAATCAACGCAACTCAGCCCCTACTCTCTTCACCGTGGGCCTGGAGATTTCACAAGAAGCCTTCAACTGCACCATCTCGGCCGAGCACTGCAAGTGGTCCTGTGACGCAGCTCGTCATGTCCGGTTTCCAGTGGGATGACCGAAGTGGTGGGATTAAAACATATCATAACCACTATAACCAGATATAACTAGTTGGTTACATATATATATATGTATATGTATGTATTATGATGACATACTCCCACTTCGATTAAGGGCCCTAGGCCATTTCACTGAAACGGTGCGGATCTTTCGCCGTGAACAAGTCGTGGAGGGAACACCGCCAGATGAAAGCATGGGATTTAGCATGAAATATGCGAAGTGGCGAAGTCCCAGGGCGAAAATTTGGGAAATTGGGGAGAATTATGTCAGTTATAATACTATATTTTTCCCAAATATAATTCAAAAAAAACTAGATTTAATATATAATAATTATATATACATATATATCCCATATCAATATCAAAGACCTTAACCAGCCACAATGGGATATGGAGCTGGGGATATTTCATGGGATATTGGAGCAGGTGGTTGGTGCAACGTAGATACATCTAACTTCATGGGGGGTTCTCAGAAATCAACTTCTGATCTGGTGGCCCCACCTTGGTAGTATAAAAACGAAACCATAGAGACAACCCTATTTGATCATATTCCCTGTTATGATCTGATATCTCTATTGTAGTATTGCAAAATGATCCCCAATCAACTCAATCAACCATGGAATTTTCATGGTTCCTGGAGCATCCAATCGGCCCATTCCCAACCATCCCACCTCCACACGACGGCTCATGTACCCTGAGGGTGGCAACGCATCATGAAGCGGTCCCAAGAGCTGGCGGCAAGCCATCATCACCTGCCGTGCTGCTGACTGGTTGGTGGTTGACCTACCCCTCTGAAAAAATATGAAAGTCAGTTGGGATGATGACATTCCCAATATATATATAATATATGGAAAAAAAACAAATGTTCCAAACCACCACTTTTTTTTCACTTTGATCTGCACACTGCCTTAGTTCTCGAAAGCAGTGCATTGACTGTGGCTGATACGGGACAATGTCACACCGGAACAAGCAGGTGATCCAAAACCCTAGTTGACCGTCTAACGGGAACAGCACCTAATTTGAGAAACCACCAGTCAGCGTTCTCCAACCGTTCATTCGAAAATGGGTTCGCCATACAGCTGGCATGCATACATATCATGTGGCTCTGTGGCCTACAGTACTGAGACATCACGTCGAATTTGGCATGGCGGCGAATTTCACAGAACGGCAACTGTACAAAACGGAGACTGGAGTTGAACGACTGCAACTTCCGGGAACCAAGTTGTGTCTCACTCATGGCCCAAACATCCCCACGGGACATGTTCGCAACAACACAACCAGCATCGCTTTGGAGACCCGAAGGGTTGGCAGTTTCCAAAACAAAATTGGTGTCACAAAAGGCATCCACAGGACCCGGGGAAAAGGCTTCCCCGACCCTGACAACACTGAAAGACTCAAGAAGCACAACCATCTTCGTTTTGGCAGACGACCATACTCTCTCATAAGACAGTGCAGATGCTAACCCCATAATCAGGAAAACAAAGTCGGGCACCAGAGCCACCATAGGCCAGTAAACTGACAAAGTAGCAGTCCTGACACTGCACCAACCAGATGGCTCGCGCCCTCCCCATCATTCACCTTCCTCTCTCAGACGCATTGACACCACACCCCAAATGTGAGAGAGCTGGGTCTCCAACATAGCTTGAATACGAGTCTGCGTTTCAATCTGCCCATACAACTGCTGATCCTGAGATGGCATCTGGGCTCGGAGGTAGTTCACACGCTGGGTCTGATGATCAGAAGCTTCCACCAATTGGCCATCCATCTGAGACAAGCCACTGCAAGCATCAATCTGTTTGAACAAGTTCGCCCACGATGGCACAGCAGGATGGAGCACCAGGAGCATTGACACCACACCCCAAATGTGAGAGAGCTGGGTCTCCAACATAGCTTGAATACGAGTCCGCGTTTCAATCTGCCCATACAACTGCTGATCCTGAGATGGCAGCTGGGTTTGGAGGTAGTTCACACGCTGGGTCTGATGGTCAGAAACTTCCACCGATAGGCCACACATCTGAGACAAACCACTGCAAGCATCAATCTGTTTGAACAAGTTCGCCCACGATGGCACAGCAGGATGGAGCACCAGGAGCATTGACACCACACCCCAAATGTGAGAGAGCTGGGTCTCCAACATAGCTTGAATACGAGTCTGCGTTTCAATCTGCCCATACAACTGCTGATCCTGAGATGGCATCTGGGCTCGGAGGTAGTTCACACGCTGGGTCTGATGGTCAGAAGCTTCCACCAATTCGCCATCCATCTGAGACAAACCACGACAAGCACCAATCTGTTTGAACAAGTTCGCCCACGATGGCACTGCAGGATGGAGTACCATGGTGCTGGCTCCACAGGCAGTGGCAGGAACCAGGAACTGTCGCCCCAGCACCGCATCAATCAGTGTAACTGAGTCATGACCCCCTTCCAAAAGTCCACTGTACTTGACCAGGTTGCCAGTTGCTCGAGTCCGAAGCAAGTGACTTTCAAGGGAGGAAACAAAGACCACAACGTCCAAGACCAGACAGATCTCCAGGGTCAGTGCCATGGCGAAAGCGAGGAACGTAACCATCAACGCTCAGCTGGGACGGCCGCACCAGCTGGAAGGTGTTGAGCCCGCGGCTGTTCCAAACCACCAACCAATTGAGGATCGTTAAAGGGATTGGGAGGGATTTTTGTGAGGATCTAATTTCCATACGATCGAACATATCTAACTATGTCTTTGTTTGGGATTTATGAGATTTATAACCATCAAAGATTCGAGGATATCAGTGATACATGATGGTTGATTGATGATAAGTTTTAGGGGTCAGAAGTTCTACTATCCAATATATATAATATATATATATATTCAATATATTGGGGGTTAAAAGTCATCAATGAAATGAGAATCCCCTATGAAAACCAATCGTTGTACAGTGGAATCTTTGGCTGGTCGGACTCGCCCCTTACATTATTGATATCTTTATTGATGATCTACTCAGAAGTTTTGGACAAACAAAAGGCTGGATGAAAATTCATTGAATAACAACTCTGCATCAGTCACTTTGCAATGTACATCTGGTTGGTGGTTGACCTACCCCTCTGAAAAATGATGGAGTTCGTCAGTTGGGATGATGACATTCCCAATATGTATATATATAATATATATAATATATATAATATCTAAAATATATAATATATATATAGTATATATAATCTATAATATACATATATAATATATATATAGAATATATATATATATAGAATATATATATATAGATGGAAAGTCAAAAAATCCATGTTCCAAACCACCAAACAGACATGATTTTGCCCTGAGATCTTGGAGGCAAACTCCGAGCCAGGACACGCTGTTCGCAGCAGACATCTTGGACCTCGCTGGTTGAGCCATCCGCAACCGGGGATTGAAATTTGCGGTGAACACACGAAAGGAGGATACGAAATAAGACTGGTGCTCCGGACCCCAAGAACATGAAAGTTCATTCATTTTTTTGTTTGAAGCAAAGGGAGCAACGAAGAAATTGTTCTTCTGTTAAATCGAATCTAAAATCTACAGTATATAGATGTTTCAATCACTGGCTGGAATGAATTCTGACTAACTTAAAAAATGGCAAATGGCTAGCAGCGAGGCCATAAGAAGTTCCAGCTGCTATGTTCTGGGTTCTACCCACCCAAAACCTACCCAATGTATCCAATATCCAAAGTATTTCTACCCCCAATATGCTTCCCAACTGAGCTATGCAGCGAGTAACCATGCACAAAAACCATGACGGAAACTATCATGCCTTCAATGACGGCCTCAAATAATAAAAACATAGAAAAACCCTGAGCCCCTGATGCAGAGACAATAGTATGGCCGATAAATGCGCAAACCTGTTCTCACAGTTCCTACCCCTTTTCTCACTGCTTTCAAACCGTTCCTGTACAGTTCCCCATCATTGTCTTTTGTGGAAAGATTGATCCACAGTGTTCACGTATTGTCATCTCCAAAATATCCAAATATCCAAATATCCATATCCATATACATATACATATACATATCCATATCCACATACATATACATATACATATACATATACTTATACATAAACATATACATATACATATACATATATATATATAAATTATTACTATTTGGGGGTAACCAGATCTTAATCAGCTGGGGTAATTCATCAGGGGGTTGGCAGTTGGTTTTATCTTAAATCCACAAGGTGCCCCTCCAGTGAGGTTAGTTGATTTACATACCCCATTGACTAGTTCGCTAAATCTGATCACCATAAAACCTGGTGTCGAAGTAAACCAACTTGTTCAACACAAGTCAACTAAGATTCCCCATGTCTGCTGGTTGACCATCATACATTCCAGCTACTTCTTTGGTTCAATCATACATCGTTTCCTCCACGTATAGCAACAAGGCCCTGACGACTGGGAGAGAACATCCGAGCCGCCGCAAGTGAAGGACACCTGGATGGCATCATTTCAAGCGGTCTGGATCATCCAGATATGCTTCACAATAAAACAACATCAAACCACTAGCCGCTAGCCAGAAACAAATACGTTAAAATCCACCGGAATGAATCTCACATGTCTCACATACTCACTTAGAAAAACCTCATGGAGGTATGAGGTACCGAAATCACAGAATAGGTAACATGTTTAGACCCAAACAACTTGCAGCACTGCCCATGCTTCCATCCCACCCAGCCTTTTGGATGTTGGTCTTGTCACTCATACGACTCATGCAGTCTCAGTTCAAGGGCGGGCCACTAGCGCCACCAACATCAGCAACATCCTAAACCACTATGATGATAGCGAGATCGTGATACCCTCCAGTAAATCAACGTAGACATGGAAACCCCACACAACATATGTAAATTTTGCTCCTACCGAAACAACCCGACACAACCAGGACGAGGATCCATGTTCGGAGGGTAACCCCCCATAAACCACAGTTTAATCCATGTGAAATCCCGTGAAAAGGATGGATAAATCTATGTACAACCTTGCTAAATGGGAAAATTATGATGCTAATCAAACCAGATACTGATGATCATAGTACTGACAAATATGAAAATGCTTCGTATCAATCGCCATCACGTTTGAGTTCCTATTATTTTGAACTATTTCCCAAACGATATTCCCAACTATGGGTCAACTATCTACTGCATTCATATGATCATCATCATCAACAACAACAACACCACCACCATCACCATCATCATCATCGTCATCATCATAATCATCATCAACAACATCATAATCATCTTCATTTTCATCATCATGGTCATGGTCATGGTCATGGTCATCGTCGTCATCATCATCATCATCATCATCGTCATCGTCATCGTTATCATCATCATCATCATCAACATCATCATCATCATCATTATCATGGTCATCGTCCTCCTCCTCATCATCATCATAATCATCATCATTATCATCATCATCAACAACAACATCATAATCATCTTCATGTTCATCGTCATGGTCATGGTCATGGTCATCATCATCATCTTCATCATCATCATCAATCAACAATCACCAATCATTATCAATCATCATCATCATCATCATAATCCAACAATTTCTCAAATTCTATCGAAATTGTTTTCAGATTGGATGTTTATGAGCATCCATCCCTTAATGGGAATCCTTACAAAATATTGATGTTACAAATCCCTATTAATTTCATGGATTCTTTGCTATCCACCAAGGACTGGCTATAGAATTCATCTTTTGATCACACATATAACTCGTAAACTATGTATATCATGTATATATACACATAATATGTTTATGTGAAAACATAGTAATAATATGTCATAATCATCACAACAAATCACAATCATCAAATCAACACATCAACCCACGACCACTTCCCGCGACAAAAAAAAAAACACGAGCACTCGACTGAGGTCGCAACCGCTCTGGCGGTCTCTTGGAACTCGCCCCGGGCAACCCGGAAGGTCAGCCACCGGAGTCTCACAGCCCTGGGGGAGAGGAAAATAAAGAGACAACAGGTTGGGATATGTTGGGCCGTTGGGCATGTACATGTGTATATAATTATGTATATATAATTATGTATAATATATATAATATATATATATATATTATTATATATAATATTAAATATTAAATATTATATATTATATATTATATATATTATATATTTATTATATATTAAATATTATATATATTATATATATTATATATTATATATATTATATATATTATATATATTATATATATTATATATATTATATATATTATATATATTATATATATTATATATATTATATATTATATATATTATATATATTATATTTTATATTTTATATATATTATATATTATATATTATATTATATATTATATATATTATATATTATATATACACATATACAAGTATATATTATATACATATACAAAGAATGATAGTAGTGGTGGTCATCCCAGTGTGCTTTTCCGGTGGTTGCTGTCGTGTGGCTCTGAACATGGGGCCTGCCCCTTTTATGGCCATCTGACCATCGGGAAAATGATTTATTTGCAGAATGAGGCCACCCAATTTTCAGACAAGCTGATATCCACATATTGGTATACCATCTATATATCATCATTTACCTGTTGTTTAAGGGGTAAACTAACCCCTCTATTAATCAACCAACCAGTGGGAAAAGGACATCTATGATCCACATATTGTCTAGGAAATTGAGTTCGTTCTTGTTGCCCGACATCCCGAAGTAGCCCCAAACTTGCTCCTTAGTCTCTCCAACCATCCCCATTTTTTGTGCATTTCTTCAACATTCAATCATCACCAAGTTGATGGATGTTGTTGCTAGATATTCACATGTTTGTTGATCTGTATACCAAGTAATCCCAAATGCGACAATTCTAAACTAGTTGATAAATTGTGGTATTTCGGATTACTGGCATATTAAGAAGAAGCATCATCAGAATTACAAGAAGAGTAACAACTCATGATGACTACTTCTATCACTGCATATGATATCAGGTAAATTCAAATCGCAACATCCCCATTTTCTTCAGCACCACGTCGGATCAGGCAGGTGGGCAAGCTTTATTGGAAGATGTTGAAGGCCCCTGTAGAAGGCAAAAGGCACTACCATGGTTCAGGTTGGCTTATTGACATAAGTAGTACGAACAATTCTATCAGTTCGTATCTAAACAACGGGCACTTCATTTTCAAGAAAGATGAAGAAGGACAACTACACAACTACTATCATCTATAATCTCTCAAGAAAGTCTACAAGGTGTGGCTGGATAGCTAAGTTGTTTTGTCTTGCCGAGGTTGACTATAGTTTATTTATAGAATATTAGTTGAATAACATAGATATTTGTTAGTTGATTTGTTAGATTACCACTGTCTACTAGTTGTGGAACCAAAACTACAACAATATCACCCTCTTCCAGCATCACACCGCTCCGCGCCTCGGAGTCCTTTTTTGACTTTCGCCTGTGATCAAGTGGCCGGGCTGGTATCCATGAGACCAACGAAGAAAGTGAAGATATGGGGGAATCCCTACAAAAAACATACTGGTACTTAGCAGGGAATTTTCGGGAATGATCCATTTCATCACTAGTAAAAATCATCCCAGCAACCCCCAGTCCCATCCATTCCCTACGTTTAGCACCAGTAAGAAAATCCTTTGGAACATTTTGGAACAAATCCTCCCGACCAAAGCAAGTGAATCTACGTGATTGGTGCAAAGCCATACCCTTCGAAGCCCATTTCTCGGTGGTTTGTTGCTCCTGAGCGAACTTTTAGTGGGATTAATGCCAACTCCACGCCAAAAAAGCACCAAACATCCGAGATATTAACTGTCCAGAAAAATTATTCACGCATACCCCCTCATATCCCATTCAGCAGTGGTTAAATGCCCAGTCTTTCAGTGCTTTAAACCATCCCATCCAGTGGACCATCAAACATGCGGAACATGGTCCAGCGGAGCCTCAACAATCGGAGTATGGCTATAAACTGACATAAGTTCATACCAACATCAGTTACTATATAGTCAAAATTATGCTAAACTTCCAACAACAGGGCCTTGTTACGTCCATAATTTGCCATTCACATTACCATTACCAGTAGTATAACTACCACCATTATAACAATCCCATTATAATAATCCCAATACTTTTTCTATTATAATCCTAAGAAAAGTGATTATTATCCCATGATAATGATCCCATCAGAAAAATCGCATTCCCAAGGTAATCCTGCCTAAATCCCAACAAACCATCAGTTGGGTAAATCATCCCATTATCATCCCATTGTATACAATCCCATTATAATCCCATTGGCAGGTTTAGTTATAGTGGGAAATGATGCCTTTCATCCAAGTGTAATCCCAACAATGTTCATGTATATTGTCCCATTCAGTCATGTGGCTTTCTCTGTTCAAAACCTCCTAAAATTCCATACAAATTCCCATGGTTCATCATGATCGAAAGTTGCCATTTTTGGGAGCTAAAAAAAAAACCATTGACACAGCCGGGTAAGGGAAACCGATGGAAACCCAATGCCAAATCTCATCGGGATGATGCCATGGCGGGATGATGCGCCATGGCACCATGGCGCCTCAAGCGACGTTGCAGGATCTTCACTAGGAGCTTCGCATCGCGCTTGCGACGCCTAAGACGTGAGGGATTTTGGGTGATTTAACCAGATAAACAAAAGGATTTTATTTGATAAATGGTGGTTTCGCTATGAAAACTCATATTTGACCAAAGAAAAACGACGTATAAATGGTGGTTTCACCACGAAAACTAAGATGTGACCAGAGAAAAATGACGATTTGACGTGATAAATGATGATTTCACCATCGAAATCAGATTTAACCATAGAAAATTGGCATTGGCCCATTAGAAATATGAGGATTTCACTCGAATTTCTGTGTTTTTGGAAAGTGGTATTTTGGAGCTTTAAGTGGTGATTTTCCAGGATGAAACTTCGGACATCATCCGAGTCAGGGGAGACAAGTCTGATCAACACCCAACGGCATCAGCATGTTGATACTGAAAAATAATGAAAAATAAAGTCATCACCAATTTTGGTTGAAAAGTTACTGTTCATATCTGTTAATCAACAATTGTTCATCAACCAAAGTTGCCATAACCAATCTGTATTTCTTAACAGCTGAGGAATATGAGGAAACCTCCTGTCAGCCTGAGCCAGCGCTGACATGCATTGAAAAGCCCTGCGATAGTTCAACCCCATCTTCGGGTTTGATATCTGAAAATCAAGGGAACACACCCAAATTATTGACATTTTCATGGAGAGAGTCATCATGTTACATCATGTCATGTTCCGTATTCAAATTGTCATGAAATGGGGGTATAGCCCATGTTCAGATCCATTTGAGATGTGTTGCTCTTGTCATGATAAGATCCATGAAGGTCCTATCAAAGCTAATCCTGGATGCCGTGCACAGCATCGACCCCTCACCATTCTGTTTTCTCAGCGCCATCCCAATCTTTGATGAAAAAACAGCTTGAATCTGTCATAGCTCTTCACAATGGCTCTCTATTCATGTTCATTCCCACCAATTTCAAATAAAATCCCATCTCTTCACTTTATTACTATTCCATTATTTGGCCATTCATGTCTATCACATCTGTTCTATCACCAGGAAAATAATCGGCTTCAACCCATCCCTTTCTTGTTAAACGTTGAAGTCGCCAACTGCATCGAAGAAAAGGCGCTTATTGTTGGAAATGTTCTTTCCCACATTGCTCCTCTTTGCAGCCTAAAGGCCCGAACCACAGTTTGGCGGGAGAAATCAGCGACTCAAATGTGGATGGCTGGGAGCTCAAATTTCTTGATATGTATATACATGAAATAAATATATATGATATAATAATAAATATATATATATATATAGAGAGAGAGAGGGAGAGTCATATATATATATATATACAATAGTAAAATCGTGGAACTAAATGGGGGAGTTTCCAGGAAATAATGTGGGTGATTATGAGAGGGTGCCCAGGAGATCCAAACCCATCGATGAGGTTTCATCTGTAGATATAGTGATTTCATCAGAAACAAATGAGACGCAATTCTATAATGTGGTAAACCCAAACATGTAAAGCACCAACAGAGGTGGTGGCCTACCACACTCTCCAGATGGTCGATTTGGGTACCGTGCATTGGTGGTTTTCACCATGACACTGCTACAAACAAATATAAACAACAGAATGTGGTAAACCCAAGAATTATAAACTAAACTATCCCCAAAATCACCATGAATGGTTGGTACAAACCATCCCGAAATGGTAGGACTATTGTTGGGCGTCCCACATGAATGGATTCCTGTAGATCTGCAAACATGTCACACTTGTTGGAATTCACCCAGGCTGAACCCAACTCTTACGACGTCTTACGATGTATCGATGTCTTAACTTGTTGCGCTACCCATGTAAAGATGTGTATGTAAATTTATGATTATATGTGTATGTATCAAACTTCAGATTTATTTTCGTTTATATCGATAGTTTCATGTTTTGGGCAACGACATGTATATATGTATGTTTCGCTCATATATATATAATATATATAATATATAATATATAAGATAATATATATAAATATATATATATATGGCAACCCCCAAAAAAATGAGAAACATCAGTTTAAAAAGCGGACATTTGCTGGCCGATTGAGCCCTTTTTTTAGGTGCCAGGCTTCGCCCAAGGAGATCGTCGCCTCAGGGCGCGATTCGTTCTTTGGTTTCATGGTTCCTGCATTGAATGGACAACATATTTCTATAGCCTATATATATATAAACCATTCAATAAACCCAGGAATATCATATATATTGCTGTGTATTTATGTATATATGTCAATTGTACTGAATGGTGTATACTGTATATGTATATGTATATCATATGTCACATATGTAATATACATATATTGACCTACTTATCATTGCACGCCCAAAGCCATGCCATTCTGCCCCATCATTCATGGTATAATGCACCCACTGTCAACGGTCAGAAACTGGGGACAAAAATGGTGATCCCGGCAGTATTGGGACCATCCCCAGATTAATGGATTGGCAGGCGGCAAGGCTTCTGTCTGCAAAAAAAGTAAAACACATGTAAAAATAAAAAATAAACACCATACATGTAAAAATGAAAGGCCAAGAAAAATAAGCATGAACATGGTTAAACAAAATGTTCAAACAAAAGCGAACAGACTTGAAGAACTAAAGAATGTATATAGATTATTTCCATGTTCATGCCCGACACCAACAGCTGCTGCTGTGGAGCAAGTCCAATGAGCTGTTGTAAGATGATGTAAGTATTTGTTTTGGATGATTTCTTTGGGTGCCTGCATTCGTTTCTTTATGGCTTCTGTTATTTTCTGCGCATACTTTATTTTGACCTACACTGTGAACATCTACTAGTTTGTCACCCAAATTCTTCACAAAATGAATCATGTGGATGGCTGCGGTTCCCTGATTCAATACAATTTGCTCAAAACCCTTTCAAACTGGACTTCAATCCGAAACAATTGGTTTGCAAATATCCTAAGACTTATTTCAGTGTAGTTCCGCTATTACCTTGAATTGTGATTTTTTACAGATTGTACCGTAGTATATATCATATATCATACATATATCATACATAAATCCCATGAAATCCAATTATATAATATTCAGAAATAAAATAATTATATGGCAGTGTGTCAAAACCTTGTACCCCTGTAGTTCACATCAAAATAGCTGGGATTTATGGATGTTCATCCCACTGGCAAATGTAGCATCTCCATCTCTCTCTCTCTCTCTATGAGACGCGAAAAATCCCAAATTTAATTGCTGTCACCAATGGGCAGCTTAAGGAAGCTAAATTGGAGGTATCTACCATATATAAGGCCTATATAAGGCTTATGTAAGTGAATATCACCACAAAATATGGTAGATATGTAAGATTCCCATGGATGTCAATTGACCAATTGAGATCCACACTGACAACTCATCTTCAGTATCTCTGGTGCCAGACAAACTGATCCTTTGACCCTCGTGTCCTGGAAAGATGCGAAATCAGGACTGCACGGTTGTGATTTTTCAGCACCAAAACTACAGCTGGGCAAAATGAGATACCGCAAATAATTACGGACAAAGGACGACTATGAGTTTTACCTCCTAACATGGGGTGCTGTACATTCAAATGTCAAAAATTCCGACGTGGTGTTTTCTGGACCTTTAACTGTGTATAAAGAAAAACCGAAAAACCATGAACTAGCTGTACAGTGTTCAGTCACAAACACCGGAACTCATGGACGTCCAGGGATCGAAGCACAGCCTTGGGACAAGTTATCAAAAAAAGTCTGCTCCCAACCCCCACAAAGAATAGAAATTGGGTCCAGCAAACAGTGAACATATCAAAAACACAAACTATCTCCTCGTGACTCTAATTTCTATGTTGAAGCATGTTTTGCCACGCCCACCCCCCCAAAAAAAACAACCACCCTCTGGGTAAGCAAACATGGCAACTGAAAATCTGCCATTGATAGATGATTATCCCGTTGAAATCTCCATTTATATAGAGGAAAGATGCAATTGCCATGTTTGATTACCGGAGGGTATACCCCATAAAGATTAACATAGAACCCATCATATTTGTGGCCATCATCGGAGAATCATCGTCCAACTACATGTAGGTTTGTCTTGAAAATTGGGGTGGTGCCATCCAGTACTGCTAAATTTCACAAACCAGGTTCGGTGAAGTACTTAAGTTTCTGCCTAGTACTTTATATACTTTATATAAAATAAAAAATAAAAACCTATCGATTCCAATGATGCCATGTGAATGACCTCAAAGCTGAGCCAACTGCCTTGAGTTACTGTACAATTGATATGTGAAAAGTATATAGTTGATTTACTTGTGTGTGTGCGTTACAGTTTTGTTGTTTCACTCCTTCGACTTCTGTCATCAGTGTCGCACAGCCGATTCGTGTAGAAATTTCACACAAAGTTGATCTCAACAAGCAATTGTTTCAAGTCAGCATTATAGATTTGGAAAAGAAAAAAATTAAAGTACAAGTCCCAAAGTTAAAGTACAAGTCTCAAAATTTTGAGACTTGTACTTTAACTTTGGGACTTGTACTTTAACTTTGTGCATGACATAATTTGGATAAAACAACAGAAAAATAACTAAAAATCCTAAATCTGCCCTACAACAAGTCAAAGTACAGGTGTACTTTAGCTATTTTGTATGCAGATTTGAGATTTTTTTTTTGTATCTTTTCCCAAATTCTGTCATACAAAAAGTTAAAGTACAAGTCCCAAAGTTAAAAGTACAAGCCTCAAAATTTTGAGACTTGTACTTTAACTTTGGGACTTGTACTTCAACTTTTGGCACATGACACCAAGGAATAACTAGGTTTATGGCTGAAAAACAAAGCTACAGTTCTCATGATGGAAATGTACATTTGAATTCATTCTCCATTGAAAACTCTCCTCGTGTGATTCAGCGCAACCCTCTTGAATCAGTAACAATTTCACCAGGCTCAAAAATGATAGGATCCACTATCTGCTTCTTATATCCGGGAGATAAAGTACAAGTCTCCAGTTAAAGTACTAGGTTTGTGAAATTTAACATCCAGTACCCCTAGAATCCACTGGTTCATGATTTTCCTCAATTGCATTTGCTTGGAGGTAAATGTCAGATAATTTCAGATGCGCTCAAAAGAACACATTGTTTGTTATATATATCCTATCATATCCCCATAACATGGTTTGTCACCAATTTCCATTCTTGCTCGGTATATAAATCCCTTACATAAACCATGACTGCCGTTTTGTGTTGGTTGTGTTCCCGTATCGAAAACATGTTTTGTCAGAATTGAACTTCCATTGTTGATGATTTCCCCTACATCAACCACGATTGCTCACATCAACTACAGCATTTGGAGGTTTCCTCAGTTATCCCGGGGACCCCCAGTCCTCATCCAAGTCATTAAGATCATGACTTAGTCTTGAAACCTATGGTGACTTGGGGATCCTGACTTAAGAACCCCCCTGACCATGACGCCTCAATTTCGGGCCGCACCCTTGTCCTTCCGTTGAGACATCATCCGTGGATGGTGTACCGCTGGAGTAGGGAACGTCTGTGACCTTGTCCTGGCCG